CTCCATGCGAAAGAACGGGTTATGAATACGTATCCCGTAGAGAATACCCTGTGCTACCACTATATGTCGAACAACAAAAGAGGAAGGAGGGCGGGCGAAATTTGAAAAAGAACTTGAAGGAGATCATGAGCGCGATGCGGGAGAAGTCGCGGAAAAAGAAGCGCACGGCGCTCGCCTAGGCGCCCGAGGTTTACTTTAATGAGCGGGCTTGGACACTTTCCGCCGCGGCTCTTCACTACTCGCTTCACCGCTAGGTGTGACTCGAGCCTCGTCCCACCTAGCAATACGGGTTCTTGCTGTTTCTTGGCCGAATCATCTGGTTTCATATCTGGTGCCGCACACGTATTCCTTTCATATTTTGTAGTTAAAGCTCATTCACTCTCAAACGTAAGTGAATAACCATGTGATATTGCATGTAACGTTCCGCGATCACAGCATCTACTCATGAAGGTAGTATGACCTCTACGGCCGGCACAATTGCCTTGAGGCTCGTGGTGAATGTGTCCATCGCCGCTTGGTCTGTGTTTACCAAGGTGACCCAAGTGACCTTCAGTGACTGCAGACGCAGACCGGCCGTTGCGCGCAAAAATATCATGTCTATGATGTCTTGAAACGGCACGTCGTCGATTGTCATGGACTCATTTCGCTCGACGCATAGGCTGATTGGCTCCAAGCGCAGATGGCGAAGTTGGGGCAGGATCCAGCGGGGGGAAGACGCTGAAAGAACCTCGAGAACCTGGGTGTTACAGTCGCGTATGTGTACAGTGTGTAAAAGTGGCAATCGGAGGAACAACCGCCGTAGGTCATCGCCTGACATCGCTCGAGTGTCCAACGTATCGATCGTGGTGAGAAATGCGGACGGGATGGAGTCGAGGAAAGCGCCGAAAGACACCTGCTGATCCCATTTGCACAGAGAAAATGTGATGTCAAGGCAGCTTGCGTATGCTTCTCCTATGCATTCCTCACCGAAGATGGATAGACCTTCCCAAGTAGACGTTACGAAGTGAGGCTTTCGCCTGTAAAAGCCACAGTATGTCTTGAATTCGTCGTAATTATCGAAATCCATGGCGATGGCAACAGGCCGGTCGCAATGTCTCGTAGAGATGTGTCGCTGAAACGACGCTAAGAATGATAGCCTATCCCGATCAACGATTTCGGTGTATGCGGATGGAACGTCGATGCCGTCTGGATTGATTCGCAAACGAGCATTCGGCGAAGGTACGAGATGAGACCACAGAGCGGTGAGCCTGTCCATCTCGGCCCACAAGTCTCCTATCTTGAGATGAGGTAGTGGTATGGATAGAGTGGGAAGAAGTCTTTCGGGCAACGGCGTTAACTCAGGAATCGAGTTCTCCAAGCGAAGGTGCTCCACATTCGAGCAACGTCGTAATAAATCCAAAACTTGCTCGGGTGAAGGAAGAACATCGTCTTGGTTTGGGATAGACCCATCTTCGGAGAACATCCTCCGTTCGATCACCAACACGGTCAAGTTTTCTGCAGGAAATGGGATGAATATATTGGTCAGGCGCACGATACGGAGTCGGGGTGCGAGCACGGGCCTAAGCCCATAGACGTCGGTACCAAGCCAGTCGGCGTCCCTATCTGGTCTATGTATCGCTTCTACCTCCAGCGTTTCAAGAAACGGGAGCGCCCGGCCAGACATCTCTCGCGGTTGTAATGTCCACAAAACCGTATCGGGATCGTATTCTCTGATCTTCAGGTGACGAGCGATAGCCAGATGTGACATGGCATATTGGATGCGGTACGCTTCAATGCTTTCATTCTCGTCATCAAGATGGATGGTGAGAGGCAAATTGCCGGCACGAGCGAAGACTGTATTTGACGCGCGTTGGCTGACATCGCATACAGCGGAGGCCCACAGTTGATGCATGTTCGACAATATCGATCGAAATGTAGAGTTCACGTGACCGAGTCGGATCCAGCCCAGCATCGAGGGTTTAGTCGGTTCCAGCGCGGCGACATTGGCGAAGATCTCACGCATGAGTTCGGGCGGGAGCCGCAATATGGGCGAAGAGTACGCATTGGCGCATAAAAGAAAGCTTTGTGCGAGTCGACGAAGTGCGGCTACGTCTTCCAGAATCGCCGCAGTGTATTTTGGGGAGCGAGGCGCTCTAGAGGTGATGGCACTGGATATCTCCTGGAGGCGCCGCTCGCTGGGGCCTGCCAACCACAACGGCGTTGTAGAAGTGGCCGGTGCAGTCGCATCAGCCATGTACAGAAGCTTGAGAGCAGCAGATCAGATTTGCACGAAGAAGAGGAGCAGAGACGAATGCGAGTCGGCGAGGAAGTATATGCGAGTCCTGGTGGTTCCAGTCATTGTGGCATGGACGGACTCGCTGCCACTGCTCTATTCGGCCCGGGAGCCGGTGATGGGCGAAAACGTGGCGCAAATGCGTGACCGCGACAGCAAAGCGCGTCCTGGAATTCGCCGCTCGCCGCCACATCCTCTCCTCTCCTTCGCCATGCTGAACCGGGTCCTGAGGAGATCATACGCCACCCTATCCAACGAAGCCGCAGCCGCGCGTACAGGCTCCACGCCACTAGCCGTCCGCGAGCGCCGCGCCCGCCGCCCCGGAGGCTCAATCGGCAGGACACTGCCCGGCTCAGACACCCTCACTTCTGGCTTGACGCCGTCCGAGTACCAGGAATACATCCGGGAGAAGGCCAAGGCGAAGCACGGGGAGATGCCGTCGCCGGAGGAGTGGTTGCGGGATGTCCAGGCGAAGCGTGCGCGGTTGCGGGGCATGCGGGCAGTAGAAGTCGAGGTGCCGGAGGGAAAGTCAGTCACGGTGCTGAGCCCCGTCGGCCAGCGCGTCTTCCTCCCGAACGTGCTCTTCCGCATGATCCGCAACCACACGCCGAAAGGGCAGGCGTACAACCCGTACGAGGCGACGTTCAGGATCGACAAGTCGCTCACCAAGAACGACGTCCGCAACTACCTCTGGTCCGTTTACGGCGTCCAGACCACCTACGTCCGCACCGATATCTACCACGAGGCACGACCGTCGCGCAGTCAGCGCGTCAGGAGTTACTACCAACAACGCGCGGCCAATAACCGCGGGGGCAAGCGTGCCGTCGTCGGTCTCGTCGAGCCGTTTTACTACCCCGACGCGGTGGAGGATATGTCCAAGGACGACAGGACCAAGTTCCTCGACATTCTCGAGCGTATGACGGCCAAGGAGGCCAGGAGGGAGCAGAACCTCAAGCAGGTCTTCGCCACCATCAAGAAGCACGCCGACAAGTGGACCTGGACCGGCCCGCTCACCACTTCGCGAGCCGTCATCTTGCGAAGGATTGCCGAGCGCAGGGCAGCGAGGGAGGCGGAGATCGAACGCACAAAACAGGATATGGTTGCGTCGCGTGGGGCAGGCAAGGTCGTCGAGGCGGAGATTGTCGAGGCTTCATAGTGCTGTTTTCATCCTATTCTACACGTCTTATAATTGCTTTAAACACACAATCATGCGTGATGAAGTCAGTTCGAATACACATGCAGCAAAGATACAATCGAAAAAGATACAGCAGTGAGTTGATTGATACATTCAGTCATAGCCAAGATTGCGCAGACGCTCCTTCTCCTCGTCCTCAATATCCTTGATCGTCTCAAAGATCGACCCCAGCGCGACCCACCCAAAGCTCCTCGCCCCAAACAGCCCATGCTCCCTCACCGACAGCTGCCACGCCAACCACCCACGCATCAGCGCCGCCTCGCGCGGCTCGTCCTCAGCCGCCGCTAACTCCGTCCTGACATCCTTCACCAGATAATCCGTGTGCTCGCGCAGCTTCGCCATGACCTCCTTCCGCTTCCGCGGCTGCGACGTCTTCTCGACGATCGTCCCCACCACGGCCTCTTCCTCCGTCAACGTCGACGTGCGCCTGTGCGACAACACCTGCGTCGCGCATATGCCCTGCAGATCCGCCGCGTACCGCTGGAACAGCCGCGCGACGGCCTCGCGCGTCGCGGGCGGGGGCTCGACGCCGATATCGATGAACTCGTCCACCCGCTCCCGCACGGCTTCTACCACCGGATCGTCCCCCGCGTCCGAGCCGACGCTCAGATCGCTCAGCTCGGACGCGAGGTCGTCGATGTCCCGGTTCTGCGTGCGCCGCATGCGCCTGCGCTGGCGCCGGTCTTCGTGCGCGATGTTTACGGTGGGCAGCTCGACTTTGCGGAAGAGCTTGCCGATCGCGCGTTGGGATTTGTAGTGCGTTGTGGAGTGGGCGACGTTGACGGTTTCGGGAGCGTTCCAGTCCGGCTAATGTGCTTATCAGTATTGTGAGAGGGAAAGCGATGTCAGGGTGTGCTTACGCGGGCTTTGAACTTGAGTCGAGGGATCCTGTCGAGAGCGACGGGCGTTCCGGACTGCAGCTGATCAGTGTTTCGTAGAGCATCAGGTGATGAATGTAGCGTACCTTCTGGTAGTCGACGGCGTCACTGTGCAACTGGGACAAGGTCATACAATCCGGATCGAAGATGTTACGCTCGCTCTGGTCCGCGATGATCAACCAGTTGATAGCGATGATGCCCACGACCTATCAATACCATCAGCTCGTACGCCTGCCCCAATGCGCTAGATAGGCGACTCACATCAGAGTTGATGTAGTCGACTACGAAGTCTGCTACGTCGTTCATGGTACTCGGCCTGTCGAGCACTTTCTTCGGCGCTGGATCGTACGATGCGGCCTCGCTCAGACGCTTGGGGCGGAACTCGGGGCAGTCGTTCAGTGGGATGAGGTTGTACAAGTCGCCATCGAGATCGCCTCCGCCGAGGCAGGTAGGCAGAGGGCGCGCGCCTGCGTACAAATGGTCAGGACTAGTCAGAATGGCACTGTATCAAGCGCACTTACCCTTGGTAGAGAATACCACCATGTTCGGAAGCGGCTCAATCTCGAATGAGCTCCCCCGCTTCGGCTTCCCAATAGCATGAGCGATCTGCGCATCCCCCGGATGAATCGTCGGCGACCTCGACACCAATATCGGTCCCTCGAGATACACCGCCGGCCCCTCCTTCTTCCTAACACACGCATAGATCTCATTCTCCTTCAACTCCCCATGCACATCCGCGACCCCAACGAGCGTATGCCCCTTCGGAATCGGTATCCTTGCATGGTTCTTCAAGTCTCGCAATATATGATTGACCGCGAACTCCAACACCTTGCGATAAAACTCGTCGCCGACCATATGGTCCAGCCCGAGCTTCGCCAGGCTGTTCAACACGGACGAAACGCGGAAGCTCGCGCCCAACCCATACTTCTCAAACAGCCTCCCCGCGCCCGCGATATCCCTTGTCGAGCGCTCGACGTCCAACACCGCCGCGTCCTGGTACCGCTCGAACACGCTATACGGCACGCCCAGGCCCTCGAGCAGCATGATGAGCGGCCGGTTGAGGTAGTACGCGCCCGGACTGTCGAACGCGCGCGCGATCTCGACGTACAGCCCGTCCGGCGCCTCGAACTTCTTCATCGACGGCCGCAAATTGATGACCGACCCGCGCAGCCGATAATCAACACTCAACATGCCCTTGCTCCCCTGAAACCGCACCTGGTACGCGCGCGGGCTGCCCCGGCTCCGCCGCACGCGCTTACGCGTCGCCTGCAGATCTGCCCAAATCTTTCTCGCAAGTTCGAGCGAGATGGTCCCGACGCCGTCGGTGAAGCAGTACTTGCGGTCCGCCGTCTCGACGTCGCGGATGTACTCGACCTCCTCGACTTCGACCGTCGCTTGGTCCGTCGCGGTGAAGGCTTGGGATATGCGCGCGGCGTAGCGCGCGGGGCAGTAGAGCGTCGGGCGGTCGAAGGTGCCGAGGGAGGCGATGATGCTTGGTGCTGTTATGCTGATCTTCGCGCCGGCGCGCATGAAGGAAAACGGCTGGAGGAACCTGTGCAACAGAAATCAGTGGGTAGAGCCTACAGAGATGATGGGTAATCGTACCAGACGGTGTGCTCCTTGAGAGCCGACATCGAGTACGCGAGAAAGTCGAACTTGCGGCCGGCGATGGTGAGTCCCTGGCGCAGGAGCGTGCCCACTCTATCCTCGATGAACGCCCGCCCGTCGATGTCGCGGTCGAAGCGGAACTGCGTCTTCCCTTCCTCCATGAAGCTGACGCGGAGGAAGTTCTCGTGGAAAGCGGCAGGGATGGAGCGTAAGACGCGATTGTTCTGTTCGGGGAAGGGACCTGCATCTTTGTATCAGCATCCGTAAAGTTACTAGATGTATGGGGAAACTGACCGTCCAGAGATATACTCGTAGGAGTGATCGACACGTGCAAGCCCTGCACGATGTTCGGATCCGACACCGCGCCCGACTTGGTGAACTCGCTGAAGGGCATATTGCGCACGAACTCGTCCTGCGTCTGCGTGAAGCAGTTGTTGATAGTCAAAAAGTCCTCCTCGACGTCGTCCTGGAACCACCAGTTCGTCGCGCGCAAGCGGAACACCTTCAAGAACGCGGCGGTGTACCGCGAGTTGTAAATCATGATCATCGTGCGAATGCGTTGCATGAGCGTGAGCATCTCCTTAACGTCCACCAGCAGCCGGCGCAAAATGCCTTCGATCTGGTACGCGACCTCCCAGTGCAAAAACTTCTGCCACCGGTTGAACTCGTCCATGTTCTTCGCGGAGAACAACTCGCGCCGGACGACGTGGAAGTTGTAGTTGCGGATCTGGTGCATCTGGGCGACGTCGGCCAGGCGGCGGAACTTGTGCAGCTCGGGCAGGGTGGGGAATACGACGCGCATGGAGTGCGATACGAATCCGACTACCTCGCCATGTCGGGGAAAGGGAAGGCATTGGAGACGTCGGCGCTTTTCGACGTATGGATCTTGTTGCTCGAAGTGCGGGGCGGTGGAGAGGCTCATCCATACGGAGTACTCGGGCTGTTGCGTTTTTGAGGCGGACGTGCACGCGTCGTTGATGCTCGAGTGCCGGACGACAATGGAGAGCGAGCTGCTTCCGTGCTGTATGTGTACGCGCATCTCCCTGTTCTCTTCCGAGAACGTCAAGGACGCCAGTCCCTGGACCTGCTTCTCCCATTCGATCGAGAAAGCATCGTCGCGGCACTCCCAGCCGAACTGTACGATGCTGACGGCGACTGAGGAGCTCGACAGTCCAACTGTGCGCTTCTCCCTTTCCTCCACTGCCGCGGGGTCTTGATAGGGCAGACGCGAGATGTCCTCTACGATATCCGACTTTGGCTTCTGCTTGCTCTTCTCGAAGGACAGGGCGCGTCTTTCGATGAAGATAGAGCGGGAGGGAGAGCCGGGATTGGTGCCAAAGATCTGTAAGAACAGTTCGCCGAGGTCCGCGCGAGGGAGTGTGAGGAAGCCCATGCCCTTGTGTTTGCGTCCGGCAGGGCCTCGCTTGTCTTTCATGAGGTGAACTCTGAAGTTGAGCTGCGTAGCGGAGAAGGCGGCGAATGGTGGCTGATGTAGAACTTCGGCGAGGCTCCGCGTCAGTTGGTGGTGATCGCAGTTGTAGGGTATGTTGCGGATGTAGATTTCGGCCATGATGAGAAGCTAGTATGTGTGGCGCGACCTGTGGCGACGTCGTGTGAAGCGCGTTATGTGCGACAGCAAAGTCCAAGAGAGTGAGAATGTCACCTCAAGCTCTGAAGTCAAGGTGTAGGTCGGTAGTACACAAGCAGCCTGAGATACAAAGCGAGTCCGAGGTGGCAAAGAAGGTGGTAGTTGAAGACAGAGGACTAGGAGAACCAAGGAGAGCGTCGTTATCGCGGGTGGATCGGGGAGTCCGTAGTGTGAGATAGAGAGTGTGTTAAGTTAGGATGATGGTAGCTCAAGGAGTCGAGTACACTCTCAGCGCCTGCATCCAGTGACGCTATCCGGAAAGCGGTCTTCTGAAGGTATGATTAGCTCGGGGAACCTACATCACATGGACTGAAGCGTCGAAAACGTAGGTTGGTTATCCTTACGTTGTATGGGATGCGGGACACAGCTCGACGAGGGTCGAGAGGCAGGACAGTCAGGCCGAATCCAGTTCTACTCGAGCGCGGCTGCCGCTCGTGGCCGTCATAAACAAGATGCGAGATAATCGGTTATCATAGCACGTGGGAGAGTCGGTGATTGCCGATCAAACACGGGCGACAAGATTAGATATCCACGCTTTCCTTCCGACGGCTACGTCGATCCTAATGTACAAGTATTCCAGACCACACATTCTACTTGGGGAAGCCGTACCAACAGCTGGGCGTCGCAACTCTCAAAGGGACTTCTTCATCTCTTCAGTCGGGAACTTGGCGAACGCATCAAGAAGCTTGTCGATTGGCGCGGCGAGGAAGCCTGCCATAGTCTCCAAGGGCGGCTGGTTCGGCGCGGAAGGGTGTGCTCTGGACGGGAGTCAGCGGTATGCCGTGCATCAGGGTAGAGGTGTTAGCATACCGTGTTGGCACAAACTTCTTGGTGCGCTTGAATCGAGCCGCGGCTTCCGCGCTTGCGCCCTCTGGCAAAGCCGCCTCGAGCGGCGGCAAGTCGTTCTCCTCCTCCGAATCATTATGCGGGCGCAGATGTGCCATGACGCGCTGAAGGGTATCATTGTGCTCGTCCGTGCCTACGATTAGGCTCTCAAGCTTGTACAGTAACTCCTTGACTTCCTGGTGCTGCGTGCGATCCTCGTCGGCGAGCTCCTTGCCCTTTGATCCGAGGTATTGCTCCATGAGCGGATACACGACGATCTCCTCGCCAACTGCATGCCGGGCTACTTCCCATCGAAGTTGGTTCGACCAACGTTCCTTGGTGTCCGCGTCGGTGGCCTCCTTGTACTTGTCGTAGTAATCATACATCTGGAGCATGCGGCGTTAGCACGGCGCAGAGGTACAATATTGGACACACTGACCTCCTGGTGGTCATCTACGATAGCATCAGTGAGAGGAGGGCGCGTCATGGCGTAAGTTCTGGCGCTGAATGCAAAGACGCGAGGTACAGAGTTACTGGTGATAGCAGAGCGAGTTATGCGAGACGAAGACCTGACGGCCGTCCTTATGAACATCGAAGTAGATGAAAGAAGACAGTCTAGCTCGTGCTCATAGACCTCGAACGTACTCCGCCTGCACTCTGTCGATGGATAGTACGCGCACAATGACGCAGGCAACGAACGCGTTGGGCATGGATCTCGATGCCCCTATTACGCGTCGTCCAATCGCAAGCCTTGGTTTACCACACGCGCCGCATGACGCGGCGTGTGCGTCTGGAAGTTGGGGTGCGCCAAAAGAATTCGAACGAACTCGCGCAAGCCTGACCTCAGGTGGCGCGCACGGCGATCTCAAAGCTGCAGGATCGATAGAGTTTCATCAGACCAGGTGGAAAGTAGTGCGGTGAAGCTTTGAAGACTGTATTCAACTCTGCTCTTGGTTCAGCCCTGATTCAGCCACAAGTAAACGCGTTGTGGTCATAGGCCGAACACGCGCTGCTATAGTACAGTGCACCATATGGATGCACAGACGAGATCCGCCTTCGGAGGTTGTACACTCTTGCATTCTGATCATCGTGCGGTGAGCGTTGCAGACTGACAGTCGGCGCTTGCGACTCGCGTGCATAACTGCCAAGGACGACCCGGAGCAGTTGTTCCGTGTAAACAAGCAGCACCAGCGATGCCCGACCGAGCTGAATCATGTACGCATGAGAGAATCCATCCATCCACGTAACATCAAACAATACAGTACTCTTACAGGGTTCGATCCGCGCAAAGCTTGGCAGAAACGCATCAGCAACGGGCGAAGCACTACGGCTACCAGTCGTACGCAGGCGCGCCTTTGCCCGCAAGAACCATCTCGTCGATCCGCTCTCCAGACTCCAGAACCTTGTACGTGCGGATGGTCTCGCCGTAATCTGAGATGTCGTATATGCGGAAACGGCGGTCGAATCTGGAGGAGCGTTGGGCGTTAGACCCAATACGACGCAGATGAGATGTGCAACATACCCGACTTTGCCGTAGCCTTCGTATGATCTATCAGAGAACGTGAGCAAAGACCCTATAATGATCCAGGCGAGACGAATACATACCCGCCACCACCGAAGCACATCCAGACTCCAGATATCCTCCTGCAGTTCTCCGTAACTGAAGACGGAGATGAGCACTACGCACGCAGTATTGTATAGAAACCAGGCGTACTGTGGCAATGCCCATTACCAACGACCTTCACCTCAGGCGCAGACCCTGCACCACGATGGTCGCTTTCCGTCGCAGCAAGCAGGCCCTTCTTGAGCAACCCGTCGTTCTTGCTCGCGGATCCCTTGCCCTCGAGCCCAGATACGCCAACGTCGAGCGGGCGCCCGCTGGCCGGATCTACGTCCGCTTTATCATACGCCTCGGGTCTGTCGGGGAGACGCTCGTCAGCTCATGCACCACAAGACTCCAACACCAAATGCACGGCCAGGGGGGATAATTCTCGGAGCACGAAAAGGACCAGGCACAACTCGAGCTCGCGCGATAAGTGGTATAGCACGACGCGTGCACGATAGATCATGGACACGGGCAGGGTCTTGAATTGAACGCCGAACGGGACGTACAGAGGGATGTGGAAGAACATCAAGCCATTCGGTTTGGCGAGCTTGCGCTGGGAGGGGGCGACTTGCTGCGGGGAGGGGGACGCGTCGCGGGGTTCGGCCCAGACGCCGCCAAGGTCCTTTGAGCCGTCCGGGACGAAGGGGCGCTCGATCGGTGAGATCGCAGCTATTTTCAGGTTCGAGAGGTACGGGTGATGCGGCCGGTGTATAAGAATACATGTTAATGAAGGTACGAGTGCCGAGAGAAGAGATAGGCGTTCAGAAAGTCAGCGAGAGCCGCGGGACGCTATATTGGATGTATATGGGGAACGTACCCGATTCTTGAAGGAACCAGTTGATCTGGTCTTGGTGGATCCAGTCGTACTCGGTTGGAGACCAGAAGCCGAACCAGTCCGTTATGCCCTGCATCCAAACTATGTTAGCCTCCAGAAGCGCTGCGGCACAAGAAACGACGAACCTTTGCATATGAGCCAGAATCGAGGAAGTAAAGGGTGAGGACTTGGGTGCGACTCGCATCGGCGCTAAGCACTTTGAGCACATAGTTTCCAACGCCGTGTATGTCTGCCGGCCCAGCTTGCACTAGCGAGTACGGAAGGCCCTGCATCAACTTGACCTGATCACTCCGCCACCCCGTCTCCCTCGCGTCCTCGTCATCGTGGTTGCCAAAGACGACAGTCCACGGAACCTGGCGACTCGCCACTTCGCGCGCGAACTTGGCTAGCACCGACTTCGCGTCAAGCACAGTTCCTTGGCCGTTCAGCTGGTCACCAGTGAACACGACGAGGTCAGGCTTTTCCTCGTCAAGAGTACGCCCGAGAAGCGAAGACGTGTAGTTGTAGGCGCCGCCGGGACATGGCTCCGAAGGATCGCGGCAGGCGCCACTTGAGATGGAGAAGTGTAAGTCGGCAACTTGCATGATCTTGAAGCGACCATCGCGCGTCATGTGAAGCGGTCCTGCTTTCGGCGCAGCTGAAGTACAGTTGTCAGGTGGGCATTCAAATATAGATGTGAGACGGACCTACGCTGAACCCCGCGACGGTAGGTAAGCCATACGTTTGAACGGCCAGGACCAGATGACGCCTCCATGGTCGGCGCGCTATCCAGCTTATCGAACCCGTACCACGCCGGACCGTCACCGTAGAGGAGGTCTAACTCGGTGATGAGGTTTGCCTTGCCATCTGCACCGACATCCCGTAAAGTCGGCCCGACTTCGTACCATAAGAAGAGAGAGGGTGCACGCATGACGCCATCGCGCACTGAGCGGTCGACTCTCTTCCAGGTATGCGCGCTTGAAGAAGGCTTTGGCTCGGGCGAATTCGCAGGAAGCAACGCGAGGTTGGTAATGAGTGGAACGTCGACGCGACGCGTGCGACGGTAGTATATAAACTACAGGGTACATGCGTATAAGTTTGCGATACGGTTGCGGAGAGCAAGTTGATGCGCACTAGGTGCCACATGCCAGCCTGTAAGTTCAGATCGCGGTCGACTCTGACCCATTTCCCCTTCACTGCGTCGTCGTCTTCGGATGAATGGGGCGAACAAAGGTCTATCATGCTGGAAGACCACATGCATCGTTCAATGGATATCTCGGACACTATGAGACATTGTTAGCCATAGGGTTATAAGATATACGATCAAGGGTAGACATACGACCAGTATCATGCTGTAATAGAGGAGACCAGACATCTAAAGGAAGACTTGCAGTGTCCGCGGCGTCTCCAGGTCTCGTCACGTTCCACCAGTCTACGTCCCAGTCGTCCCCGATGGTCTCGTCGACAGACCCGGCGCCGGCACTACTGCCGGTAGATAGAGCGCTTGACTCAAAGATAGGCTCCCACGACTGCCATCCAACGCGTTGAATCCCTCCAGGACCGAATCCGGGTTTGTAGAGAATGAAGAGAAACGTAAGAAGTATAGAGAACGAGAAGACCAAACCGGCGGGAATGATGGTCGCCCTGAGAAAGCGAGACAACCGTCCGAAGACGTTAAGCGCCATTTCCCTCAGTACCCGTGTTCGCCGTACAAGATGATGAATAAGGGTATACGCAGTATGGATTGAGGTCGACGGTTTCCGAGTGATGAATGTTGGGAACAAGAGCGGACTTGCGCGCGCCACGACTGCGGACGCACGCTCGCACAAGCTGTTACTCGCGCCGCCGTCATCGCAGCGCTTGCTCGCTGCCACCAACCACGAGCATCCCGCCCATCGTGCCCAGGCTACAGCCGCCCAATTCCATCACAAGCGTAGTCGCTTGCGTGTTCAATCAAACAGGCGCCCGGGTTGCGCCGGCCCGAGTCGTCATCTCTCCTTCCACTTTCGAAATTGAACATCCCATCCCTTCCAGCTCGGCTGTTTTCAACTTTATGGACTTGGCTCTCCTGTCAGACAGCATCCTGTATCTGCTGCCGGCCCCGCGAACTACGCTGATGCGCCAGCCGCCGGCAACTTCTGAGTGGCCGGACCCCTTGTGCCTACCCAGGACGCCCTCTTGCATCATGTACGCCAGCTGCGAGCCTTATCAGGCATACAGACAGCCTCTCGCCTTCTTTCCGTACAATTTCGGAAGCCGGAACAAAGAGCACTGCTTGCGCGTAAATCATGTCAGGTCCTGCAGAACTTCCTTCGGCGAAGATCCAGCTTTACGATTTTTGCCGGCGTATTGCGGTCCGCGTAGGGCCTACGCTCGTCTACGCTCCTATACCAGAGCTCCGTTGTCGAATTCCAGGCTCCGATGGAGCTTCAGTCAGACATAGCTTTCCAGCCAAATCGCGCTCCGCACAGACCGAGCCTCACCGATCCGCTCCTTCCGCCTCCGAGGCCCCCGCCCGCGTCGGCCGCGATCGTTTCCTCCGTCGTTTCGACTCGCGTCTCGGACGTCGTCCAGGCAAGCTGCGAGACAGCGGACGCACTAGTGCCACAGTCGGATATTCCTAACGTGGATGAACATCATATCAGGGCCGGGAGCGTACAGCGCACGCGGAGATCGGGCTTCGTACCTTTGCCTGCCCCACAGACACCGTGTGGCTGCTCTCATCCCGTCTGATCCCGACCGGCCTCCATTGCGACGGCGAACGCGCTATGACATGAGCAATCGTGCTTCATTATGGCGTGTGCTTGCAAAATAAGCAGCGCCTTCCGCGCTCTCTGGCGTACAATCGCACGCACAGGACAACTCCGTACCGCACGTCAAGCCTCGGGAAGAGCTGCAAAGCAACAGAAATACCGATCGCTCCACAACTCAATATTCGAATGAACTCAGCATGCGGACATGCTTATCGGTCCAAGTGCTCTGCCCTGATCCCGTCTTCCGGCTCGCATTTTCTCGATCTACGTTCACATCTACGTATCCCTTCGCGCCGAGCCCACGCCTTCACATCTTTGGGCTTCTTCCAACACGCCTGGTCGTTTGCGTTACAAAACCTCGCACGAGTCAGAGGTTTATGTTCGCGCTTCACGTACTGTCGGCGGGTCAAGCAGCTTTGGCTATACAAACCAGACCTCCTCTAGCCGCGGAAACAGAACTGCGCACCGGGTCTGCACACGATGTCCATTGCGGAGTTGTCAACTTTTCTCCATCGCGTGAGGTGCAAGGCCGCCTTATCCTGCCGAGTCCCGAAATTCTGTTCTGTGCACCATGTGTGCACCAGCCCCTGAGCGTATCTGGCGTGCCTTCCACTGATGGCTCCGTGGACCTTCCCTCCAGGCCGGCTACGCATATAAGCGCGGGGCTCGACGTCGCCGTATTCTTTGAGGCATCGTCTTTCACCTTCCCAGACTCCCTCATCGCGCGCGCTCTGTCGCTGCGCCAGCCAGCCTAGGTTCGACATGGCAACTTTCGAACGCAAGGGCTCGGATTCGTCCGTTATCGACGAGAAGGCCTCGGGCATCGTCGACGACAGCGAGAAGGGCAAGCTCGACTACGTTCCTGCTCTTCCCGCGGACGTCAACGTCGCTGAGGTCGGCGATGTCGCGGAGGACGTTCGCGCTATCGACCTTGGTGCCGATGGCAAGGAGCGCCCCATCGAAGAGGCCGGCGATTACGCTCTTCGTCTCGTCTCGCTCGAGGACGACCCCACCCTTCCTGTCCACACATTCAGGACATGGTTCCTAGGCCTCGGCCTTGCCTGCTTCGCCGCCGTGCTTGGCGAGCTCTTCGTACGTCGCTCTCGCGTGCGCTCGATCTGTAGCATGCGCTTACTTACGCGATCCCGACAGTACTTCCGCCCCCAGACCGTTCAAGTCTCGGGTCTCTTCCTCCAGGTCATCGCCTACATCCTCGGCTTGATCCTGGAGCGCGTCATCCCCGGCCCTGGTAACCCCATCCTTCGCACGAAGGACACTTGGTTCTGGCGCTTCATGAACCCTGGTCCTTTCAGTACGTTTCTTTCGCATGCTCACCTAAGCCGCCTTCCTGACGCTCTCACAGACATCAAGGAGCATGTAGCTATCAGCATTATGTCTACCACTGCTTCGGACCAGGCCATCGCTATCTCCGTCTTCGCCGCGCAGGACTTGTACTACAATGTCTCTGTCAACGCCGGCGTCGGTATCTTCACGTGCGTGCTTGGCGTCTTCTTCTCATCACCTTGCAATGTGCTAACAAACATGCAGTCTTATCGCATCCCAGCTCATTGGTTACGGTCTCGTTGGTCTTGCGCGCGACTACCTCGTCTACCCGACATGGGCGGTGTACCCCTTCCTCATGCCGCAGGTCCAGCTTTTCGACGCCATGCACCGCAACAAGGGCGAGTTCCTCCAGAAGAAGCGTGTCCTTATCTTCTGGGGTACCCTCGTCGGCATCTTCGTATGGGAATGGTTCCCCGAGTACATTGCGCCGTACGTTCATTTCGGGTCACGCGGCAAAGTCCATGACGCTGATCAATATTTAGAACGCTCACGGGTATTTCCGTCATCTGCCTGGCTGCACGCCACTCGCCTTGGGTCACCCGCATCTTCGGTGGTGCGGCCGGTAACGAGGGTCTCGGTCTCTTCGCCATCTCGCTTGATTGGAACTACATCGGCTCTGGTGGCAGCGCCATCGGCTCGCTCTTCACGCCGCTCTCGACCCAGCTCTCGCTCTACGCCGGTGTCCTCGTCTGTATCCTCTCGTTCTGCTTGTGCTACAGCAACAATGTCTGGCACGCGCAAAACATGCCGTTCCTGTCGCAGCTCCTCTTCTACGAGAACGGCACGGAGTACAGCCAGCTCGAGATTCTCAACGACGACTTCACCCTTAACGAGACCAAGCTCGAGCAGCAGGTACTTATCTGTTTTGTCATCGTTCGAAGTGTGTGCGCTGACATACGTCACAGGGTCTACCGTACTACGTCGCCTCGCAGACGCTCTACCAGCTCTCGCGTACGGCCTACATCGGCGCCGCGGTCACTCACTTCGCCATCTGGCATCTTAAGGACGTCATCAAGGTCGTCAAGGATGTCTGGTCCGGCCGCGAGTGCGAGGACCTGCATTTCCAGAAGATGAAGGCGTACAAGGAGATCCCGCATTGGTGGTACCTCGCGCTCTTCATCGTCATGTTCGCGCTCGGCATGGGCCTCTCCTACGCCGCGGACTCCGGCATGCCTGCGTGGGCGTACATCATCTCGCTCATCTTCTCGGCGGTCTTCGTCCCCATCCTGGGTTCGCTCTACGCTACGGTCGGTTACCAGCCATCGCTCCAATTCCTCATCCAGATGGTTGGTGGTGCACTCATGCCCGGCAAGCCCGTCGCGAACATGTACTTCACGCTTTGTACGTCTTCCCTGCCCATTCTCTATCGAACATCTCGCTTACCTTCCTGCAGACGGCTACCAGACCTACCAGCTCACGCTCAACATGCTTCGTGACCTCAAGCTCGCTCAGTACACCAAGCTCCCGTGGCGCGCATGCTTCGCGATGCAGACCGTCGGCGGTATCATCGGCGGTATCCTTAACTTCGTCATCATGAAGTCCGTCATCGCCGGCAACCGCGAGCTCCTTCTCGACGTCCAGGGTTCAAACGTCTGGTCCGGACAGCAAGTGCAGTCGTACAACTCCGCCGCGATCTCGTGGGGTGCGCTCTCCAAGCCGCTCTACGCGCCTGGCGCCCGCTACGGCTTCATCCCATGGATGCTCATCGCCGGTCTCGCCGTCCCGATCATCCCGTGGTTGTTGCACCGCCGCTGGCCCAAGCTCGGTTTCAACTACATCTTCACGCCCGTCGTCGTCGCCGAGCTCGGTTTCCTCTCGGTCGGCATCAACTCCTCCTGGATGACGTCGCTCGCCGTCGCGATCTACTCCCAGTGGTACCTGCGCAAGTACAAGCCCCGCTTCTTCCGCAAGTACAACTTCTTGCTCTCTGCGGCGCTTGACGGCGGAACCCAGATCATGGTGTTCGTCTACTCGTTCGCTGTCGGTGGTGCGTCTGGCACCGCAGTACCATTCCCGAACTGGGGTCTCAACCCGACGGGTAACCCGGATTACTGTATGCGCTTGACGTAGTGGGATTCTGCTTGTTGTACGTGGATGTTATGATTCATGGTTTAATGTACTGTACATTTTTGCGTCTTATACCATTTGGGCTGGGGCTGCTTTCTGTATCATCTCTTGTGTGACGCATGAACGTCAAGTGTGAGGCTGGAGATAAAGGGTAACCCGTGTGTCCGGCGACGCGACTCGGGGTCAGGAAGCACTGATCAGCGTCAATCGAAGGCTTGTAGACTAAATTGTAGCTCGCAAAAGCTGTGATAACATCATACGCATACAGGCATTGAGCTCTACGACTGTGGGTCAAAGCCCACATCGACTTCTTCCAATGGATTACCATTGATGGCAACACGCGATGGGCGCCCGCCGAAGCCTTGCGCGTCTTCCTCAAAGTGCGACCGAGTCATGAATCCTAGTCACAACCCAAAGCTAGCCATGCCGTAGGTATATAGAGTCAAAGGAGAAGCGTCATAAACTAGGTATAGTACACCCGCACATCCGCCATGGCAGCCCCTCTGAACCTCCCCTTCGCCATCCTCAACGCGTTCTCAACATCGCTGAGCGGCGGAAACCCCGCAGCCATCATCCGCACAACGCCCGAACAGAACGCCCAACTGACGGACGAACAATGCCTGACCGTCGTGCGTAACCTCAATCAGCCGATGCAGATGTTCATCACTCCTAAGGCAGATGCGCCGGGCGGGTTCAGCGTGCGATGGTACACACAGGTCAGGGAGAACATGTTGTGCGGGCATGCGACGCTCGCCGCGACTGGGTTGTTGTTCGGCGAGCAGAAGGAAGGCCCGTTCTTCGTTCAAGGCGCCAATGCTCTGAAAGCACTCGACTTCAACGGGAAAGTCAACTCGTTGGAGGGTGCTAAGGTTGAGGATGGGAAGGTCGAGATCGCTCTTCAAGCGGCGCAGGTCGACGAGTTGGACCGCGAGGACCCTCGCGCGGTCAAGTTGCGCGCTGCTGTAGCCGCTGCTGTGGGCGCCGATGTCGGTGTCATCTATCTTGGTGCGGGTGCAGGGTCATATGCGGCCTACTGCCTGGTCGAGCTTGATGTGGAGGATTTGGGTGCACTGAACGTCGACCATGTCGCTCTGGTATGTTGAATTTATCAAGGTTCTCATAGCACATCACTGAGAGCGCCCATAGAAAGAATCCGGCTTTGTTACGAACGTCTTCACTGCCCGGCCCAAGGCCTCTGAACGCGAAGCCGGCGTCGCGTTCGAAACGCGCATGTTCGCGCCCACCGTCGGCGTTAACGAGGACCACGTCTGCGGATCGGCGCATGGTTTGCTCGTTCCGTACTGGGATCGGAAACTTGATAGTAAGGGCCAGACGATGCATTCGCACCAAGTTAGTGCGCGGGGAGGGGATCTTTGGGTCACCCTCGACAGCGAGAAAGGACTGGCGAGGCTGGCAGGGCATGTCGTCAAGGTCGCGGAGGGGACAATCTTGGCATGACAGTGTCTTGTAAGACGCGTTGAGCACAACGAGTTGGACGGAGAGACGCATGGAACTCATTATCCGCATAGTATAGGGTACAACAGGAGATTTATGATAGGTTATACGAGCTTGACTGGCTGATTGCTCTTGGGGTCCGCAAGGAACATCGGTAGGTACGACGCGACGACAGCAGCAAAAGCCAGCCTATAATTCACATGATAGCGTGTCAGCCATAGTATGTAGAATATAAGGTGGTACTCACGCAAGATTCGCCAGGGGAGGCTGGCCGCCTTCCTTGGTGCGCAGGGGATGGTAGTTGATGTATGCGCTAATGCCAAAGAAGAATGACGGCCAGGAGAGGTACCTGAACAGGTTCAGTTGCCATGCACACGAAAGCTGGAGTGTATACAACTCACCTATTGCGCGTAACCATGATGAGGCCAGCAAGAAACATACCGGAAGTCCCAAGCGCGTCTGTGTGAGATAGTCGTGAGTATTCGCAATATAACATATAATGTAGATGTGCAACGCACCGGGAGACTCTCCCTGCCATGACTGGGGCGGCGTACGCTTCACCTCACGAGACGGGTCGCGGGGGTCGGTCTGCGACATGGTGGTGGACGCTCCTGACTTGTGTCGCGTACCTTTGCTCTACGCGGTCACGTATCCGTGCCACGTTTACGGCTATTACCGAGCCGGCCTCGAGATACTTGGGCCATCATATTCCTTTCTTCTCGACCGCCACTTGCTAAGCACTGGCTATCATATGCATCAAGCCGCAGCTCAATCCGGAACCACATCATGCGCAAGGCATACCATGACAATAGACGGACTTTCAAGGCTGTCTTTGTGCAGTGCGAATACTCGGACCTCGTTGCGAATGTCCCGACACTCGTCCCTGCTTCCGCGCCGCGTTTTGGACCACGGGCGTCAATTGTCACTACGAGCCCTGCCCTCTGTCCATTGTTGCTTTGTCTTCCCGTGGTCCTTGTACGAGGTTCTTTGCGATGACCACAGCTGAGCGGGTCGCTCGTTATAAGGGCGGGAGCAACTTCGAAGCGGGGACAACTGACCACCGCCCACTTCTACCACCTCAAGTCTTTGGATCCCTACGATGCGCCAAAGCGTTCAAACATACCGCCTATACTTGGCCGCTCGACCCACTCGTCGTACCGCTGGCGTTGTCATCGGATTTCTTCTGGTCCGCGGCTTCAAGGCAACGTCTGCAAGAACACCCACCGTTATTTCGCTATGGCCTTCTGAGCGCATGTTCGAGGGCAAGAGCTGCATCGTGCCAAAAGTGACCCGACACAACACTTTGTCAATGGATGATGTCCGCGGCCTGATGGTCCTTGAGTACTCCTTGCCAGTAGACGCCTTCCATATCGAGCTTCCCGCGGTACCAGTGGGCAGCGGATCCTTCAGCCTGCAGGAGCTGAATTGGTCTTACAATGTGTTCATGGTACGTCTCGTCTCTCAGCGTCTCAGATTCTCCCGCTGAAGCAATTCCCCTCTAGCGACTCGCACTCGCAGGCCGGTTTGACATGCAAGCAACCCCCCTCTCCTGGGCCAACATCGTCGACTGTATGCGCAACGCGGTCCGCCTCCCGCCCTCTCCCATACCAACCTTCAACCTCAATGGCGAACGCGTTGACGCCTTCACTCTCCCGCCACCATACATCCGCGCCTCAGAGGTGGAAGCCGGTCCCGCAAACCCATACCGGGAAGAATGGATCCGCAGGCCGCCTCCTTCACCCATCATGTCCGAAGATCAATGGAGCACTTGCGGCACCATTGGCAAAGGCAAGAAGTACCGCCCCGACTCTTCACACCTCAGCGCGCACGAGTCGTCGTCTACGCACCAACAAGATCATCGCGTCCTTCGTCGCACTACGACCCATCACCGCTCTTCGCACGAGAAGGGGAAGGAGAACGTCGATGTCAGGGCGTATCGCCGTCATACGCGCAAGGTACCCAAACCCGAGCCGATGCCTGAAGTCGTCAAAAACGCTCCGCACCACCGCGATGCTGCACAGCCGCGGTCTATCCTGAAGTCGAGGTCCAAACCGTATACGCGTTTTGAAGCCACAGAACAGGCGGGCGCTGGAGGTTGGACGCCACAGCGCGTTGGCATCGACTTGCATGCCCCGCGTTATTATGCGGAGCCAGAGCATGGGCGTGGACGTACGAGTCGGAGCAGGGCGCGCGACACGCGTGAGGAGAGGTATGCCAAAGCCGAGGAGCAAGTGAAGAGGCGCTCGTCGAAGGCTGCTCGCGCCTCCTGAGCTAACCTATCGCCTAATGTACACTTCTCTGTACGAATATGTTTGGTTTTCCAGTCATCTAAATTGCGTCACTGTCTGTAACACGTACTGTATATATCTTGAAGTGTAATCCTACTATATCAGCAAATCATCTAGGCAGGTGCTATTGCCACCAATTGCAACTGGCATAGCATAAGCGACAAGAAAGAAGCAGTAGTGCCTCTCTGAGAGAAGTGTGTGGTCATTATACGTCTTGCAAAGTTGGCGCCGAGTACCCGTACAGATTCCGCACCGAAAGAAACCAACGTATTCAATATTCAACAGTGAGTGAGCGCTGAGCGCCCAAGGTTGCGGCCTCGGGGAACTCGGCCGGCCCTGCTGCCGGCCGCAAGCGGGCGGGCCCTCGAGTCGTAACTTGTTCCAAACCATCACCCAGAGCTAAACTCAGTCTATTTTCCACGGCTTCCGGGCCCCAACAATCTCCTGATACCAGAGACCATTCTCTATTGAACCAAAGCCATCCTAACCGTGACGTCTCTGAACATGACCGCCATCATTGAAACACCTCTCTGGTTGGTCGAGCCCAGCGAACGACGACTGCGCGAGATCTCACATGTAGCGTCGCTACGGGCTCCTCCTTCTGCAACATACGCTTCCTCGATTCTTCAAGATGCATCGGCCTTGAGACGGCTCGCGTTGGAATTCATTCGCCGCGCCAACGCATACACTTCCCTCATATTGCGACTACCTCCGGAGTTGATCTTCGAGATCTTTACGCACGTCGTCCGTCTTGAACCCACGAGTCCCAAGGAGTTGGGGTGGATACGACTCGGCCATGTCAGCTATGCTTTCCGCTCGGTGCTTCTCAGCATGCCCGGCTTGTGGGCTTCCGCCATATGGGACGTCGCCGACCACGCCCGACACGAGGTACTCTCCCGCGCGCGAGACATGCCGCTCTCGATACAACTCAAAACGGGTCGTAAACTGGATGTCTCGTCGAATAAAATCAAGTTCGCGATGGATAATATAGACCGAGCCCGGCGCATCAAGATAGAAGAGCGTCAAGGCACTAAGATACTGTGGTCGTTCGAGCCGCGAGACCTGTCGGGCAGGGTGTTCCCTCATCTCGAAGAGATCGATGTCATGTTGCTACATCATGACACGAGCTTGAGAGATCCCGACTGGCTGGGTCCTGACGTTTATGGCCTTGAACCAGTGCAGGCACCGCGCTTACGATCCGTCTTTCTGGTCAACGTCTTTATCCCCATCTCCCCAAACAATCTGACGACTCTCGCCCTCATACGAACAAAATACTATGGAAACGGAACGATAGCCGCCTCAAGTGACCTTCTTCCTTCGCCAGAAGAGTTCCTCCACATGCTGGCACAATGTGGGAACGTGGAGTACCTTACGCTGCAGAACGTAACTCCAGCCATCGCACCATTACACACTTCACTTCGATCGATCGACGCTATAAAACTGTCATCGCTCAAGGAGCTCACTTTGTGCTCGCCGATGTCCGAGATAATAGCATTTTGGACATATCTTGCCCCGCTACCGCACGAAGTGGAACTCTGTCTCAAACCTGACTATACGGAGGCCGCCATCGCAACCGGAGGATTCGTCGATTCAAGACGGCTGTCATTAATCTCGCTTTTCCTGGAACACCTGGCGTGTCACGACCCGTCCCGAGTGACCGCATTGGCGTTTGAAGCAGACAAAGAGTCCTTCATCACGCAATGCGGGTTCTTCAAACGCGCGGCCGACGCCTCTCAGGACTCTTGGGCAGGTCTTTCTGTGTATAATGCTAACTGTGAGGTCGGAGATGACTACAAAACTTTCTTGGATATCTGGCTCCACCAATGCGTCTGGGCTGAGCATTCAACATTGGCTCGGTTCATTGATTATATTCCCGAGCCATTTTTCGCCCAAATCGACACACTTGATGTATTGGACGTCAACGTCGAAGACTTGCAGCGGTTGTTCGCCCGCTTGCCCAACATTCATACCCTCCATTTCCGTTCACCAGAAAGCTCGCCTCTGGCATCTCTCGTATACAAGACGGAATCATCCGGACCCTCGACGGCCCTCGAGAGACGGGCATACCTACCGAAGTTAACACATCTTCGCCTTCACGACATGGACTTCGGTGATATTCAGGCGCAATTCCACGGGAATATATTGCACTACGACGAAGTAGAGAATGTCTTGTCCTCACGCTTTGCCGCTGGCGTACCTCTCCAGTCCTTTCACGTCATTCAATCACGCATCTATGCCGACCAGGCCGTCGTCGACGCCCTCATCGCACGCATGCAGGAGATGGTTGTTGGAGATGTGACTGCTGATATGGAGGTGCTTTAAGATGGGAGAAGACCTGTGTTGTGCATGCGCGATCTATGCTCAGCTACTGAAGAACTCATAACTCTACTGGTCGTACGCCACATGTGATATTCACTACCTACTAGATAGATGTCATTTAGGTATACCACTTATCGATCATGCTTGAACCTTTTATGAACTTCTTCGTGATCACCCATTCTTCGTGATCTCATCGGTACTGTGTACCTCTTTCAATAATACAAGACCTCATGCTGTGGGATAAAGATGCGACAGGATGCGACACAATCCGAACTGGCGAAGGTTTGAACACGAGCCGGCGGCGCGGACCGGTTTCTCGCGTCGCTGCAAACACGAACATGAGCGCTTTCCAACTTGTTCCCAGTCATCCATCTACATTCCAGCTCACGGTCACGAGCCCTACCGCTGGCTCTACATATCTCTCGACCGTCTTGAACTCAGATTCTGTGATGTTCGAGACTTCTCGTATGCCTGATTGGCTGGCAGAACCTGGCGCGCGTCGTCTCCGGGAGATCGACGATAGTGCATCCTCTGGGGCACCGAACTCAAAGGACCTCGCTTCTTCAATCGAGCTGGATTTAGACTCGCTAGCCAGGCTCTCGACCGAGCTCCGGCGGACGTCCAATGCACATAACTCTCGCTTACTGAAGCTGGCGCCGGAGATTATTCTGGAAATCTTGACCTTCGCCGCCGCCCTCGAACCCGTCAGCAGGAAATCTCTCGGATTTATGCGTCTGGGTCATATCTGCTATCGACTTCGCATGACTCTACTAGGCATGCGCTGGCTCTGGGCCTCGGTCATCTGCGACGTCGGACCGCGCGCCTGGGGGGAAGTGCTACGACGTGCCGGGAATACTCCTCCGACCCTCAGGCTTAAAGATAGCAAAGAAGCTCCCGCCGATTCACTCATCGAGTACGTGAAGGTCAATAAGACTCGCGCACATCGACTCAAAGTCGTCGAGCACCATTCTTCCATTATCTCATGGCACGACTCGCCGCACAACCTCTCCGGGATCCATTTCCCTGACTTGGTAGACCTTCACGTGGAAGCCAAGCATAGGCCTTCACGGGACCCGCTCTGGCTCGCAACCGACTGTTACGAACTGGACCCAATACACGCGCCTAAGCTTAGAAGGCTTCATCTCGTCAATATCTGCGTTCCCTTCTCACCCGAGAACTTGACGGTATTGGAACTCAAGCGCCACCAAAATTACACCCACGTACCCATTCCCAACGGCGACGATATACTCCCGTCTCCTGACTTCTTTCTCTCACTCATGAGGCGTTGCGTGAATGTCGTGGAGCTTTCTATGACAAACATGATCCCTGCTGTCTCCGCTTTACCGTCGGATCTTCGAGCCGCAGACGCCATCATCTCGCTCCCTTGCCTCAAACGTTTGACTCTGCTGGACAAACTCTCTAGACTCTTGGACTTGTGGTCGCATCTCTCGATTCCCCCTAACACGGCGATTCAGCTCGGGGTGGACTATATCAGCTCCCCTTCCTTCTCGGACTCCCACGTCAACGAGCAACGGTCGTCAGTCTTCCCCGCATTGCTCGACCACCTTGAACGCAGCGACCTGTCCGATGCCACTGCGCTCTATTTCAAAATGGATAAGGCGCGTCGCAAGATGTCTTGCGTTCTATACAAGCGGAATCCTGGCGTCACTCTCGGGGAGCGGTCTCGCTTGCTCTTGCATGGCGATTCGTCTACCGACTCCGTATTCGTGGGTGTCCACTTCTATAAGTGCGCCTGGGGTAGGAACTCCACACTAGAGCGAACCATAACATCTGTTCCTGCGTCGACATTTGCCAAGATTGACACGTTACAACTTGACGACATCCCCAACCTCAACCTCGTCTACCTTCTGGAACGTTTACCTCGTTTGAACACTCTCGTACTGAATGGCATTGATCGCGACCGCCTGATGGCGCTCTCGCCCTTCGCGTGCTTTCCCCATTCGCCCCAGTCTATCATCAGCCCTGTTCTCGCACATCTCTACCTAACTGGAGTGCACCTGTGCGACCCATCGAAACACAGCACTTTGCCATGCGCGCGCGACATACTTGAACTCCTGAGCTCTCGTAAAGGCGTCGGTCAACCCCTCCATTCGATCACATTCGAGCGCTCGGCGCTGAACATGACCACATCCGAACTCGCCTCCTTCAACGCATGCATGAAGAAACTAGTCCACACCGTCAGGTTTCTGAATCCGAAGGCATAATTAGGTAAGATCATCATACTCCGCAAGATCAAGGCATGGGGTTAACGACTCTCTTAGGACTCGTACCATACGATGAACCTCTTTAGTGCATTCCTATAAGAGGCAAGTAGCCTTGACTTCTATTCGCTATGCACGTTCTTGGCCTCCTTGAGGGCGTGTGAAGTTGGATTGCGTGACCGATTGCCCGGAGTCGGCTTAGCCGCTGCGTATATATCACGCAATATCTCTACTCGACTGAGTATAAGCTCTTTACATTGTTGAATGATGTGTAATACTATGGTACATGCAGTTGAATGCGACAAAGCGGTAGATGAATGAGCAAATGCAAGGGTTCTAATTCGTTAGACGTAGAGTTCTCCGCGCGAGATAATGGTGACTGGCCCGGCAAGACGAACAAGACCCTCCTCATCGATTCGTATCCTGAGCTCTCCACCACGCGGGCTCACTTGTCGCGCAAGTATCCCACTTCCCTTGACTTGCGCGTGGAGCCCGTGCTTGTCCGCCCAGTACGGCGTAGAGAGCGTGTGAGCCGTCCCGCAGACCGGATCTTCGGGAACACTCGCGGCGGGCGCGAACATACGCGACTCGAAAGCGACCTTGGGGTCTTCGGAAGAAGTGGTCAGGACGTGCACCATAAACGGAGAGTCGACCTGAAAACAGCACAGGCGTCAACTCCCGCAACGAGGCACCCATACGTGAGACGTCGGCGTACCAGCTCGGTGATTTTCACCGGTAGAGAACGCAGGTCGCGTGTGGCGACTTCGACGAGACAGTAGAAGTCAAGATGACCCAGTCCGGCACCCATGAACTCGACCTTGACATCGGGTCCAAGCGCGCGCGCCAATGCAGCTCGAAGTCCGACGGCTCTAGGGTCCTCAACAGCGAGTGGCTCGAGCCGCCCCGCAGCGATCGCAATCTCAACGCGCCCTTCTTCTGCCTTTCGCGCGACGATCACCCCGTTAGTCGCGTGAAAGTAGAGCGTGTCAACCTCCGAAGGCACGCGAGCAGGATCGGCGAAAAGCGCAGCCGCCGTCGCGAGTGTCGCGTGGCCGCACAATCCGGGCTCCAAGCTGGCGGTGAAGTACCGGATGTTGAATGCGCGCGCATTAGCAGGAAGTTCATCAAGACCTTCCTCACGTGGAACGATGAATGCGGTCATCGGCTGGTGGAAGTTCGCGCCAATTGCTTGTCTCGAGGAGTCTGAGAGTAGGGCATCCTGCTCAGGCGAGAGCAGGACAACGGCAGCCGGGTTACCGCCAGCGATATGTGTCGAGAAGGCGGTGAGGTGAACATATGGTAGAATCAAGGGCTCCTTAGCTGCCTGCGCCGGGACTGGGACTGGGACCATCGTGGAGGTGGGGCGAATGGGCCTAAAGAAGACGATCGTCTTTGAGCGCTTCTTGTAGCACTGCATAAGCGCCGGCGCCTCATGTAGGGCAAATCTTCCAAACCTACTGAGTCTGCTGACTGGTGACTCGAGAGATAAGAGAGTGCACAGATACATGCGTCAAGTCTAACAACTTTGTACTGTCGTCTGCATATGCTTTACCTCCGGGCTCAGATAGAGCAAATGTGCGTCTGGAAGCCCCGTCAGTCGGTTCACTATAGCCTCGACAATGAAGGAAAGTCACCATAGTGAAGAATAGAGGACAGAAGGGGATGCCGGAGAAGTGTGCAGTGGGCCGATTCGAGCGGCAATTCTCCCTGCGGCTTGAATGACCGTGCCCGAGGTATTCACAGGACGGGTTCCGGAAGCATGCCGAGCGTATTCGTAGGACTCTAGGAGATCAGTCGGTGACGTAGAAAGCGTATCAATACAATTGCAGAGATGCTTATGCTGAGATATGACATGTTTCAAAGGAGAGAGCGCTAGATCGAAGCACATTGGGTGGTAGGGGCTCGGAGATCCGTGGGGAGTGACAACGGTTTGGACGGGTACAGAACTGAACAATCATCAGACTCGATCAAGGATGTGTAGAGACAGAAATGTATTGCAAAGATGCCGTACGAGGCGTAGGGTGGGACAGCATGGCGTTGTGGATGAACATGGTTGTAAGAGGCAAGTTCATATGCCCGATGGCAAGTCGATAACGCCGACAGCCGCGGCGTGCTCTCCGCTCAGCGTTCGGTACCGCGGCACACACTTGGCTCTCACCTCCACTTCCACCTCTTTCTCTGTTGGTCACGCTATCGAACCCATGGAAGAAGATATGCTGACTTATGTATAGCTTCCTGTCGGTTATTCTGGATCTATATCTCCATGTCGCGTACTGCGTGGTCAAATTCTGGCAAAGGCGGCGGGAACTTGACTTCTGATCGCCTTGCGCCCAAGAAGCCCAAGCCGCAAACTCAGCCTGCACAGAGCAAGGGCAAAGCAAAAGCTCCGCAAGATCCTCCAAAGAGTGCAGCTGTGAAAAGGCTCGAGAGTATACTCACCGGTCTGTCTGGCGCGAAGTCGCCTAACTCTCAACCTGGATGCTACTGCCAGGGTGCGTCTACTCCTATTGGGCATACATCCGTGAACTGATGTGTGACCTTTCACATAGCGCGAAAGCACGCTCTCAACAAGTATACGCCAATATGCACGACTTGCGGTCTCATCCTGTGTGCCTTGCAGCAGCCATACACGCCTTGTCCTCATTGTAGTTCATCACTACTATCGCCGATGCAACGCGATTCCATGGTTGCCCAGGTGCAGTCCGAGCTTGAAGCACAGCTAGAGCTGGAAGAATGCGAGCGTGTTCGCGCGCAAGAGGCGGTCCGTGCAGCACAGGGTGCTTTCCCGACACTCGGCGGTGCAACACCACCTACGACTATCGTGACACCGAGCCCAGCAGCATACGTCGTTCTGTCACTAGACTCAAAGACAAAAAGGACAACCGTCTCGACGTATCATTCACCGGCGCCTTCCCCGCCCACCGTCTCGCGTGCACCTTCGGCACCACCACCACCACCCGACGATTGCGTACCTCCCCCTGCTATCGATTCAGTAACACACTTCCGCGGTGGACGTCAGCCAGCTACAGCATGGGCGGACCTGATAGGTGGAGATGCGCCTGTGTACATTCCGCCTGTGCAGGATAAAGGCAAAGGTCGTGAGCATGGAAAAGGACAGGCGTCAAGGCAAAAGTGAACTGTGAGATATACTCAGACTCCGCGTCTCAGTACATACGAGTATCAAGTGACGATACTGTCACTCTGTATGTATATGAGAATACAATTACACGTTACGTCTTCGTTATAAACCGCTGACGAGTGCCTCGACCCGCGTCGATGACGCACTGACCCTTGTAACTGAAGCCAAGATGCGAGCCAAGAGACAAACTGAACCCGGTCTTTCTTGGGTGTTCGACATGTCGACGTCTTGCCTTTCCACCACCATGGTCCTTCCTATAGAGCGAGCTTGAGAACCATCAAGGCCTCCGCAGAACGCCAATCGGTTTGGCTCGAGTGTGGAGAGCACAAGCAGCATCCACGCGGCCATTGACATGCTCATGAACAACACATTCTCTGTACGCTCCAGTTGGCTCATTCCGCTACTACTTTGGGTGGCATAGGTTCCAGGAGGTATACTCATAGGCAGATGGGACTTGACAGGTGCGTATATCACACGCCCTATCTCACATAGCCATCGGATTGAACGCCGCGGCAGCGTCTCCGCCGATATGGCGGCCGAATTGGAATCGTCTTCGAGCAGTTCTTCCTCTGCCTGCGCTTCGCCAGTCGGAGCAGAAGCGACGAAGATCGACTGCGAGAGCGTACAGTGATACACCGTGTACAAGTCAACTACGCTAATCTATCATCTTCTGTTTGCCATCCCTGCGTGCTCAACAAGCGCTGAAATGTTCTGCTAGCTCGGGACTGCTTCTAGAAGTGACGCATACGAAACACGCCGTTTGAGGGTTGTCCGCAATGGCCCTTCTATCTTCGCATTGTAGCTGCGCCAAACGGGCATGATGGGCGGCATCGAGCGCTGGTCTGCGTTGACAGCAGCGGGGCAAGCGCAAGAGGTACCGGAACTCTGTTCCCCGCGGTCTCTCCTGTCCGGTATCGAAGTTCTCCCGTTTCGCCGCCTGCGGAGACCCCTCTCCGGCATTGAGACCACGTTGCCATGCTGTCCCTGGTGGGTTGGTGGCGTGCTTTGTTGGTATTCGATGACAAGCTGCACGAGCCGCGGCATCGAGGATGGTCGATGGAGATGGAACAGAGCGCCTGCCAGCGCCTCTCATCATCTGCATCAAAGACTTGGCACCTGCTACATTTGCCCCAGTTCTCGATCGCCGATTCATCGTGTTCGGAGTCCATTTTGGCGGACTATTTCGGGTCCAGTGGCGGTAGCGAACCAATATCATCCGGCCTACAATAGTAGCACGTGCACATGGGCACGGAAGACGGCGGAAATCTGCGCCCACTTCACCGGTATCTGCAGAAGCAATGTATGGTATGATTGGAGAGTTCGAGGGCTATAGCAACACGACAAACGCCCATGATCATTCCCATGCCCGCACCGTGCCTGTTGGGACTACTTAGAGCTGTAGCGCTGCTTTACAGGATCTGATTCCTCCGTCGCCTCTCTCCGTCTCCCCTCCACCCGTCGCTCTTTGTCCGGTAACGCCTCACCCGACACGACGATGGCGCGCTCCGCTTTCTCCAGCCTGGTGCTGGCAGCCTTGTCAGCCACCATAGTCGGCGCACAAACCGTATACATGCCCAAGAACCCTCAAGTCTTCTTCGACGGACGGAACGCCGATGCAGCCTCTACAGCAACCACAAGCGCGACAGCGGCAGCATCCTTCACACCTGCCGCCTATCAAACTACGACACTCAACCGACCTGCTCTGCCTAATCCGATGCCGGCCCTCACCTTCCCGGCCCAGTTGTACAGTGGAGGAATGGCGAACATGTCGATTCCCCAAAAGGGTGACTTCATGGGCTTCTCAATCGAAATGTCCGTGGCGACACAGATGCGTGCGTATGCGGGCTTCCCTCATGTAGACTCACAGCTGACCACGGTTATTGGACACCCAGTGGGGAAGAACAGGTTCGCTTCGCTTCTCTACCGCTATGTCGGATCCGCGCCTCTAAATCCACCCTCTTCCCTAGTTCGAACATCTACGTCCCGTTCCTCAACCTACTAGCCAATGTTGTCGCACGAGCTGGTTCGATCCAGATCCGTGTTGGTGGTAACACGCAGGAAAACGCCGTACTGAAGGACTCGCTGCCGAATAACACCATCCTGTCCAAGGACAAGGACAACCTGTTCAACCCGACTGGAACGCCGCCCATCGACTACACCCCAGATCTGTTTTACATGATGGGCAACATCAGCAACTTCGTTAATGCCTACTGGTACGTTCATCAATGATATGACCGAAGAAGGGCGCTTATGCCAGCCATTTTAGGTATCTCGGTATGTCGAACGGGAGTGCGCATGTGGAGTGTTTCCGTCTAATTCCCGCGCAGGTATCCCGTTCTTCAACCATACGCCATTCTCCCTCGAGCTTGCGGAAAGCGGCCAGCAAATCCTCGGAGACCGCCTTCTCGCCCTTCAGGCTGGTAACGAGCCCGATGTGAGTTGGTCTTCGAGAGGTTTCGCTTTCGATCAGCGATTGACTCAGATTTAGCTGTACGCCGCTCCGCCACGTACACATCGTCCGACAGGATATGCGCCTGCTGATTACTTCGGTGAAATCGGCGACCTTGTGAACCAAGCTGCATCGGACTCTGCGATCCTGAAACAGAATGGTGCGTTGGTCTGACTTGCTATGGACTGACTCGACTTCAACACTGATTGCTGTGGAAGACGTATGGCTCGTACCGAGTGTATCAGCTACCGGCGAATCTGAGTGGGTGATTGACAATGTCCTGGCCACCGGTATCCTTGATTCATACGGCACTCAAATTCACGCCGTCACGGTTGAACGTTACCCGAACAACAATTGCGTTGCCATTTACGGTGGTGGTACGTCGCCCCAACCCCCGCGAGTTGCCATACCAGAAGCTGACTTCCTGATCAGGAACTCCCGTTGTACCTCAGGACGTTCTACCCAACTACCTCTCACATGCCGGTACGGTAGCTGTCTATAGCGAGTACGCCAACGCAGCAAACACCGCCGTCGCCCATGGCAAGCCGATGATGCTCTTCGAGACGAACACGGCGTCATGCTCTGGCTTCGTTGGTGTATCCGACGCGTTTGCTGCGGCCCTTTGGGGCATCGACTGGTCCATGACTTTGGCTGCTGGCAATTTCAGCGGCGCGTTGTACCACTTCGGTGGTCAGTCAGCTTCGTACAACCCTTTCACGCCTCCTCAGACGAACCAGACTGCTTTCCGTCAGTGGACTGTTGGTCCGATCTACGTGAGCGTCACCATTCGCTATCGAACTACAGCAGATCACTGACATGCAGCCCAGTACTCGACGCTCTTCCTCGCTGAGACTATGGGCCCAAGCAACAAGAGCCAGATCGTTGACTTGTACACGAACAACAACAACCCGAGCACGCCAGCTTGGGCGGTGTACGAGGATGGCACACCGACCAAGGTTGTGCTCATCAACTACCTCGACGACCCTACTGGTGCTTCAACGATCAACGTCCAGATCCAGGTTGGCGGTGGTACGACTGGTCAGGCCGCGGCGAGCCCTTCGCAGGTCCGCGTGAAGCTTCTTACGGCGGAGTCGACGGTGCAGAAGGGCAACTACAGCTGGGCAGGCCAGTCTTTTGGTGCATGGTTCGAGTCCGACGGTCGTCTCCAGGGCGAGATGCAAGCAGACACAGTGCAATGCTCGAACAATGTCTGTACGGTGTCTGTTCCCGCGCCAGGCGCTGCACTTGTCTTCTTGACAGACGATGCCTACAACGCCGTTACACCGGACAAGTCCGACATACAGACCTTCCCGACGACATACGTCACTGCGACTGTGAACACGGCCATCATCAACACAACCGAGCTCGCTGTGAGCAACGGCCATGGCGATATCGGTGCAATGAGGCTCACAACGAGTCCAAACTCGCGGAACAAGAACGGCGCGGGATCGTTAGAATCCAGCGTCGGCGCTATTGCAGGAGCCGTTCTCGGCCTCGCTCTCTTGTTGAGCGCGTGATGAGAAGTCCATTGGCTTCAGGGCTGGGCTAGATCCTGGAGGGTATGCTTGTTGGCTTGAGGTTGAGGCGCTCCGTACATTTGTTTCGATTGATTTGATACCCTATCCGCTACCCATTGTATCATGCATGTATAACCTACCTGTGCAGATCTTGCTGCTTGTCTGTCGTTACATCTCACTGTCGCTACATCTATACACTACTTTCCTAGTTCGTCCGCATTAACATTCGACGTCAGAAAAGCAAGGAGATATGCAGATGTGGCGATTACCGCTATGTCCGCAGACATGGATGGTGCCACAGCTGCTATATCAGATATACAGGACCCTGTATAGATGTATCGTGAGTATTTTGGGCCACCGAGAAGCGCGTCGAATGCCCAATGGGAGAGCCAGCGGCTCGAGATCGCCCCTGGAGCGCAGGAGTGCGCAGCAACCGGAGGTCTATATTTACTCTGACTTTCTGCATATAAGGTAGCGCAGCAACAGCTGGCGTCTATGTTCTCGCTTTCCCCTCCTCGCCTCTCTGTTGAACGCGTACAGGGCTATACCGAGAACTGCTTACCCGCAATGCGTCAAATTTCGAAGGTGTTCAAAGGTCGAGTCGACGTCGAGCGCTGTCGAAGCTCAACATGCGCGCTCCCCGGTATATGTACCAAGCATCAACCGGGATCCCGCCTACCAGTACTAGGGGGCTTCCAGTGTATGCTATATGGCAACGATATCAAGGAGCCCAGTGTATTATAGCAACACTTCCTACAGAACATGCAATCAATCTCTATCGCCACACTCTTCTATGCCACATACAGCGCAATGCCCGCTTTTTGCCACTCTTCATCGCGATCTTACAGCTGTTTTTCGCGCAAGTAGACCTATCACCTGTACTGCTAACCTGCCAGTCCCGACGGGTTGGCGGTGGTCTCGAACGTGGATGACGCGTGACGGGCTCCAAGCCCTCGCTTGGCGTTGTGTTTGTTACCACGGCCGCGCATAGGCTTCCGTGCCTCGCTCTTGCCCTCCATCTTCCACCGACGACGCCTGTCAGCTCCTTGTCGTCGCTGGCGACGCTGACCTCGAAGATGTCCCGCTCATTACTTCTCGGCGCAGCTTTGGCGGCTTCTGCGCACGCGCAGACGATCTATTACCCTACCAATCCTCAGGTCTACCTCAATCCGGATGCGTCGTCGGCTTCGGGAACGGTGGCCGCAACGGCAGCAGCAGCGACATACACCGGCGCCGCGGCCTACAACCCGACACAATTGAACGTCCCGGCGGCACCAGATCCCGCACCTGCAACCCAATTCGGCGTTCAGCTATACTCTGGCGGTATGACGAATTTGTCCATCCCGCAACCAGGAAACTTCATGGGCTTTTCCGTCGAGATGTCCGTCTCTACTCAAATTCGTGAGTACCAATATTGTCCCTTTGGATGAATTAAGCTGATGCGTTGTGTAGTTGGCAAGAACAGGTTTGTCGGGATTTCGTCTGCGGATGTTAAGCGCCGTCTGATTTCACGCCCAGTTCGGCGATCAACGTTCCGTTCTTGAACTTGCTCGCGAACGTTGTGGCGCGCGCAGGATCTGTGCAAGTTCGTGTCGGTGGTAACACTCAGGAGAACGCCGAGCTCAAGCCGGGTCCGTTCGAGAACAACACCATCCTTACCAAGGACTATGGCAACAGCCAGAACCCGACCGGTACTCCACCCATCGAGTATACACCGGATCTCATCTACATGATGAACAACATCTCCGAGCTCGTCGGTGGTGTATCGTGGTACCTGGGTATCCCGTTCTTCAACAACACACCATTCGACCTTTCCATCGTCGAGTACGGACAGGCTATCCTCGGTGATCGCTTGCTGGGTCTACAAGCCGCGAACGAGCCCGATGTACGTTATCGAAATACCGCTCTAGCGAACACCAGCTGATCCAGCCGTTGTAGTTGTACGCCGCTCCTCCTCGTACCCATCGACCGACTGTGAGTCTTCGTCTACAATCTTTCCGTGGACACAGCACTGAAATCGTGGTATAGGGTTACTCGCCTGCAAACTACTCCGCTGAGATCGGTCAGCTCATTGACCAGACCAAGAGCGACGACAAGATCCCCCGCAAGGATAGCTTGTGGCTGATTCCTAGCACGTCTGCTGTGATCAGTGACTTGGAGTGGAACCCGGATGCTGTATGGGCAACAGGGATGGTCCAGACCTACCTGGATAGCCTTCACGCTCTCGCGCTTGAGCGTTACCCGGAGAACAACTGTGTCGCCGTCTACGGTGGAGACAACCCCGTCATTCCTCAGGACGTGCTTCCCAACTACCTCTCGCACGCGCCCAACGTACAGCTCGCCGCCGAGTACACGTCTTCTGCACAGATTGCTGTGCAGAACGGCAAGCCGCTCATCCTGTTTGAGACCAACACTGCGTCCTGCTCCGGTTTCGTCGGCATCTCTGACGCTTTCGTGGCCGCTCTTTGGTCGGTCGACTGGGCTATGACCCTTGCATCGAGCAACTTCTCAAGCGCGCTCTTCCACGTTGGTGGTCAACAGGCGTCTTATAACCCCTTCACTCCTCCGCCCACGAACCAGAGTCACTTCCGTCAATGGACCGTTGGCCCTGTCTACGTGAGCTATCGTTACGATCAGTCTACCATATGCATCTCTGACCTCGCCATAGTACTCGGCACTTTTCATGGCTGAGGCAATGGGCCCGAGCAACAAGAGCCAGGTTGTTGACCTCTTTGCCAATGGCAACAACCCGAGCACCCCTGGCTGGGCTATCTACGAGGACGGCAACCCCACGAAGCTCGTTCTGATCAACTACCTCGATCCTTCTCAGGGCCAGAACGACCTCACCGTCAGCCTGTCTATCGGCGGTGGACAGACCGGTCAGCCCAATGCTACCCCCGGTCAGGTCCGCGTCAAGCGTCTCAGTGCCAGCTCGGTCGTTCAGAAGGGCAACTTTACATGGGCTGGTCAGGTATGTGCCCCTTACGCTTACACCTCTGTGCTTCACTGAGTCTCCGATGCTAGACTCTTGGCAACAACTTCCAGTCAGACGGTCGTCTACAGGGTGAATCGCAAGTCGACACCGTGCAGTGCGACACTGGCAACAACGTCTGCCAAATCACGGTTCCCGCTCCGGGTGCCGCGCTTGTCTTCCTCACGGATGATGCGCTCAACTCGGTTACGCCCGACCCCAAGGATACAGTCACCTTCCCGACGACCTTCGTCACCGCAACCGTCAACACTGCGACAGTCGACCCTAGTGTCCTCGCCACGAGCAATGGCCACAACGACCTCGGTAGCAAGGAGTACACCACGAGCCCGAATTCACGCGACAAGAACGCCGCGAGCGCGATTCGCACGGGTGTCGGTATGGTGCTCGGCGCTGTCATCGGCGCGTGCGTGCTTGCGAGCAAGCTTTGGTGATCCGTCTGAGTAGATGGTGATACGTTTGAGTAGATTTGAGAGGGGGTAGGAGTAGGAGCAGGGCTGCCTTCAGCATGTACTAATTCGCTATCAATGGACTGGGCTTTGGACGACTGGCTGTTTGATCTTTGACGCTTTCCTTTACATTACCACATCTGCCCATACCCTATACATGCAACTGTGAACATATCTCAATGGGAGCTTACTCGAGCGAGGAGTTTCTGCTTTGAATAACGTGCTGTGCGGGAATCAGCCTGCCAGGAACTCTACGTGTGAGTACTTGCCGCACAATTGTGGCGCGTCACGCGGCTTCGACGTTCGACTCGAACCACCACCTCCTTCGCTCTAATTGTCGCGCACCGTTGTCCTCGCATTCGCCAGAGTTCTTCCTATCACAATCGCCATCAGCATCCATGCCCGCGTCAGCATGGCTTGAACAGCCTAGTGAGAGGCGATTGCGAGAGCTCTCTAACTTGGTCGCCTCCGGAGCACCTTATTCCACCGAGCTGGCCGCCACAATCGCAGCCGATGTTGAGACTCTTCGAGATCTCACGTTCAAATTTCTTCGCTATCTCAACGCGTACACGTCCCCTATCTTGCGCTTGCCACCAGAGGTCATGCAAGAAATATTCGCACACGTCACCGAACAAAGCGCTGCTTTCGACGGTCGTGCAGGTTGGATGCGGTTAGGCCAAGTCTCACACGACTTTCGCTCAACGCTGCACAGCATGCGTGGACTTTGGGCGAAGGTGGCTTGCAACGGTGTCTTCTGGGGTCAGGAAGAACCACTGGCGCGAGCAGGCGACCTTCCCTTGACGCTTCGCTTGTGCAATCAGGGCGACTACATTCATCCCTCTCGCGTCGACTTTGTGGCGAACAAATTAGCCCGTGCGCGATCCCTCTTCATTTATGAACAAGAGGATGGCATTCTCTGGAACCGCGACCCCAAGAGCATATCCGGCGCTGAACTCCCGCATCTCCAGAACCTTCACATACACGCGAAATATAGACCGACGCGCGACATTACTTGGCTTCCCCGCAGCGCTTATGAACTCGAACCGGTCCACGCCCCTTTGCTACGAAAGGTCTTCTTGGTCAACATATTCGTTCCATTCCCTCCGGGCAACCTGACTAGCCTCACTCTCAGTCGAGCTTCCGAAAGCAGGAACCTCGCAATACCAGACGATCACCTTCCTCAACCGGATGCCTTCTTGGAGATGCTCAGAAGATGCACAAAGGTCGAAATCCTTTGCTTGGAGCATATCATCCCAATTCTCCATCCAGCGTCGAACAAATCCTATGATCATTCCAACCACGATGACAGAATTCAACTACCTTCACTCCGCAAAATCACTCTCAACTCCTCGAGAACCAGGATAACTTCGTTGTGGACGCATCTTTCCCTGCCAGAGAATGTGCATGTGGACATCGGAGTGGATTATATCAACGACGATGACGGCGGCGGCGCGACATCAGACGCATACATCGATCAAGAGCGATGCTCCTTCCTTGCACTATTTTCCCACTACTTCACGCACAAGATCGGCGCGGCAGCCTGCGCACTCGCGATCGAACTGAACACAGAAAAATCGATCACGCGCTGCGGTTTCTTCAAACGCGTGCCGGAGATTTGCGCTGACGTTGACGAGGGCCTGCCTGTCGTCAATCTCGCCGACGAGGTCAATGATGCTTACACACTCCTGTTCGACGTGTGGTTCTATCGATGCAAATGGGCGGAGGGACATGCGCCTCTCGCTCAATTTATCGAATCTATACCCAGAACATACCTGGCCCACATCAATAATTTAGACCTAACTGGTCTCGGGGTCGACGATCTTCGACTTCTTCTTCCACGCCTACCGCGTCTGCACACCATCTCCATCTTCGGGCCACTCACCTTGCCTCCATTGGCGGCCCTGATGCCCGCATTACCAGCCGGCGGCGGAAGTACCGCTTGCGTGCCCGTGCCAGAACTGCGGCACCTTCGCCTAGTAGGCATCTTACTACTAGATGGGGAGAAGTACATGGGAAACAGCTGGATGCTCCCTTGCACAGACGTCATCGATCTAGTTACCTCTCGCGCCGATGCAGGTTGTCCTTTGCATTCTCTCAAACTCATCAAGATCCGATCTGCGAACTTTTGGGAACAAGCACTTATGGATGACTTCGTCCATCAACTATCACAACTAGTGAAGGAAGCGGAGGGATCCGTGTGGTGGTCTGGACTTAGACGGCGCTCGCGCGTATTATAATACATAAATGCAATTCATGCGACGGTCCATGTTCGCCCGTATATTACTCATTGAAGCAGGGCTCGTGAATGTAGGATAGCTCACGGAACCGGCGCTAAGCTAAGGCCAATCCCTCCATGATCTCGTGCCTGCCAAAGCAGAACATGTCACTCAGTCACACGGCCAAAGGAAAAGGCACTTCACTCACAACTCGTCGCTGTCGTTTCCCGAGCCACTTGTATTTGATCCTGAGGAAGTGAAGCGTGGAAGCGTGCTCTGAGCGTTAGGGCGAGGGCGCTTGATGTGACGAAGGAGATGCATGAGAAGCCCTTTGGCTTGAGGGCGAGGAAGGATCTTGTCGGCTGCCGTTGTATACTCCGCGAGCTTAGTCTCGTTCTCGAACAGGCGGACGTTGTAAGACTCGTTGAGCGCGAGGAGACGCATCTTCTCGATGAGATCTATGAGATTGACGTAGACCTCCTCCACCAGCTGGGAGTATCAGTGAGAAACGATGATAGAGCAGAACACAATCAATTGTGTAGACGCACCTCGCGACACTCCTTCAAAGTATCCGGTATGTCCTCAAGGCCGATCGCCGTGCATAAGAGCTGCCACGACCTCAGGCTCCTCACCTCCGTGCCAAAGATGAGCTCGAACTGCCTAATCAGTGCGTCCCTCAACCGAGCGCGAGCCTCATGCCTCTCAGGGCTATTCAGACCCCATCCGCGCTCCCGACACAATCGGTTGAACTCGGACATGGTAGGCTTCCGCGGGTTGTACTGGAAGCCCTCGAAAGACCCGAAGAACTCATCGAGGGGCGTGTCCGGCGAGAGACGCTGGCGCTCGCTTTTCTTCTTTTTCCTACGAGGGGGAGGTGTCTAGATACGGGTGTTATCGCTGATTATTATCTCAGGTAGCAACAAGAAGACCTGCTCACGGTGGGAGGTTCCGGTGAAGGAGGGACGTCGGTCATTGGCGAGAGAGTGGAGTAGGGTGGAAGAAGTGGTGCAGGTTCAAAACTTGTACTCGCCCGACGGCGTAAGTCCCCTTTATAAGTCAGCGAGGTCGCCTGCCCAACTTGATGGGAATACGAGAGAGGCTTTTCGAGTAGACGTATGTTTCTTTCAAGAATCTGGCGGTTCTCGTGAGACCGGATGTTCGCCAACGGCATACCACTTCCCCTTCGCGCTATGCGCTTCGGCGGCCCTATACCACGTGGTGCATCAAGAAGGACGCCTTGAGACATTGAAGGACACTTCGCCCATTCTTGGTGAGTTGGCGGGAATCAAGAGCGGGAGACTACAGTACATGTAAATGCATGGCTGGGTACACGTGTACATGCATTCTCGAAACAGGAGGCGTCGTCTTGTGCTACTTTGCTGCTCTGCGGGATGTGTGCAACTTCCTTCGGCTATGAGAGTGATTAGTATCGCAATGAGTGGAGGACAGAGTGTTTACGCACTATACGCCCAATGGTCCTCAAGTCCAATAAGATCATGGCCAGGTGGCAATGCTACACGGGAGTCCCGTCGTTATTGAATGTCTGTATCAGACACGGCAGCAGGTCGCCTCCGTCTTCGTGCGCGGGAAATAGCCTTCCCGTACTTCGAGAGTACTCGGCGAGCTCATCTACGTTGTCAAAGCGCGTCACCTTGAACGCCCGTCTGTACGCGGCACCTTTCGCCTTGTCGACGAGGTCGACGATATTGACGTTTATAGCTTCCAACATCTAGTCGGACGTCATCAGTATGTGGCATTCACATAGCGGCGAGTTGTATGCCTTACCTTCCGACACTCCGCGGGTGTGTGAGGAATCTCCGAGTCGTCGAAACCAATCATCTCGCAAAGCCTCTGCTAGGCGTACACCTCCTGGCCATCCCTCCCGAAGCTCGGACCGAACTGGCACACCATTGCACGCTCAAACGCCGCGCGAGCCTCTTCTTGCTCCTGAGGCCTGAGGACTCAACTGAGGCTGCCTCCTCCGGGGCCCCGTGAGAAGCCTCTGAAACTCGCTCGTGGCGGGAGCAGACGGGTTGTAGAGGAATCCATGGCGATTGTTCGCGTAGAGCTTGAAGAAGTCGAAAAGTGGGGTGGAGGAGGAAGGGTCAATTTTTGGTATGTCGTGCTGAGTCGGCCATGGTGCAGTGAAGGTGAGGAGGCGTGCGAACGAGAACGGCGAACCACCTATATATACGGGTATCAGTTAAGGTTGGTGTCGTAGGTCGACTGGCGAGGAGGCCTACAGGGCATGGATTTGAGAGGGATAAGATGGGAGTCGTTGCGACGAGTATGGCTAGTGAGTGAGGAAAGCCTACATCACGAGGCGGTATAGAGATTGACGCCTGACGCGAGGTGCTGAGGAAATGCTTCCAAGCTGCAGCCAGTTCTGGTCGTCGAGCGGCAACGGGGATCCGCTTCAACGGGCGACGAAGAGGGCGCCGGGCGTCCGACGCCCAATCTGGGATTGGTAAGGAGAGAGTGTGGAAGTCGCCCGGCGTGCACAACCAGAAGCTCTGGCGGGACACGAATGCTTCGAAGACCAGAGCCCTGCACGAGCGAATGTATCGCGCATGTTTCGCCTCTTCGCTCATTTGAGCCAATAATGTGGAGTTGTTCGAAGCAACAGTATGGCGAAGGGGTCGTCATGATGATGGCGGGAAGCACGCTCGGAAGAACGTGCGAGCCGCACTTCGGACTTCGGGCCGCTTCCATTATCCTGCGCCGCTTCTCGCCATTTGCCGCCATCATGGCCCTTTCTGCGGGCACCCTTCCCATGAAAGGCACAAATATGGCTCGTTTCTACTGGTATTGGTCGAGACCATGAAACGGGCGTACTACCTCTACCAAACGGGACCTGAAAGCACTCTACTGGGTAAACATGTAGTGACACTTATTAGGTAGGCGGCCCACTGCCGGTTTCACTCGACTCCGCTGCAGGTCTTGCAAAACCTTTGCGATGTATGCTCAGTCAGCGATGAGGCGTTTCCAGATGAGCTCAATCAATCACCTGGCGGTAGAAGCTGCCGAAGCATATACTCGTCATGGTATCCGCGGATGGGCGCAAACTCCTTCACTTCAGGGTGCCACGCGATCTTCGGAGATATCTCATACGGATACCGCACCTGCCCATCTTTACCGGCCCAGTCAAAGTCTATGATCTTGAGCTTCTTGTCCTGATCAACCATGATGTTCGGTGCCCGAAGGTCTCCGTGTACAAGGCCCTCGCGTCGCAGAACGTCGATCGCTCGACATAAATCTTGGAAGAACGATTCCGGGAGCTCGTCCTGCGACTCCATGCGTTCCAGCACCTCCCCCTCTATGTATTGCATGACGACCATGGTCATGCCCTTCGGTAGCTCTGCGCATGCGGGCCCACAGAAGAGTATCTTGGGAGCATATCCAGCAGCTGCTAGGGCGGCATGCGCATCTTGACCATAGCTCTCCGTGATCTTGACAACGATCAACTCGCCGGGCTGTCCATCGGGGACAGTACGGGCAAGGTACGCATAGGAAGCGTAGTGTCCTAGCTTGGACAGGTACTCGAACGAGATGCGCTCGCCTGTAGTGGAACCGGCGACGGGATAGGATGCGAGCTCGGGGTAAAAGCGGGGATGATGTTCGTTAAGTGGCCGTTGGACGGGATTGTCGGCAAGCGCAGTGTACCAGTCTCCAAGCTCGGGAATTGCCAGGCGCAGCGCGTATAGGTGGCGGGAGAGGATATCGAGGGAAGTCCGTGCATGAAGAGCTGAGCCGGGATGCCCAATGTGGATGCCGAATAGGTGCTGTACGATCCATCTGTCCGTGAAGACGGAGCCGTCTACTTTCAACCATGAATCGTCAAGGCTGAGTATGAGCGTGGGGCAGCAACACATCGCCATGACTTCGCGGTAGGGTGTCTGTGTGCTTATCAGCGTCTGGCAATGCCGGCGAGATCGGTGAATGGCAGACTGACTTCTAACCATGAACACTGCATCAGCAATGCGCCTCGAGTTTGTGGGTTACCTGCGTCGTCAGCGCTTTCCCTCTGCCCCAGTGTTGCAATTGGAATGGACAGTGCGTCTTCCTGGCTACGTATCCGGATGTCCTTGAAGACGACGCTATCTGGCACAGCCCTCCCCTCGTCCCCATACCAAGACGCGCGTGAGAACTTTACGCCGAGAATCTCCTCAAGATCGCCCACGAGGCTCCCTCTGAGTCCATCTGGTAGTTGTTGTTCAATGCAATCACTCATGCGCCACCTGATATCCTCGGGGACTTCCAGCGTTTCATCGTGCAGTCTCGCTTTGAGGCGCGCGAAGACCGAGCAGTAGATCTCTATTGGAGCCGCCAGTCTTGTCGATACGGCCTCCTCGGCCGTATACCGGCCGTTGTAGAGCGCCCTGAATGGATCGCGTTGTTGGTCGAGGAAGTAGGCGTGTGTCGCGCCTCGACTGGGAGAGGCGTTGCGTCGAATTGTGGCACGGACGGTCTGTAGACATCCTGTGAGCGTGAGACGGAATCAGTACGAGACAGGCGGGAACGAGGATGCACGCACGGATATGAGCCGGCATATGACGGACGAGGTTATACTTCTCGTGCTCATCTGCGTCGGGTGGGCAGTGCTGCCAGAGGATGAAGTCGATTGGAGGCCGACTAGAGCTCGAGGGACCTCGAATGTCATTTCCAAGGACGCGTGGAAAGAAGTTGCGAAGGGATTCATTGAAGGAGCGGCTCAGCTCGATCTCGTCTGTGTTATACGCGAACCACCGGCCGACTTCGCGAGTCGAAAGAGTATATAGCTCTCGAGCAATCATGTTCTTATCGAGAGTCCCGAGTCTCTTCGCATAATCATCCTTAAGCTTGAGGGAGAGTCACGTGAGACGAGTACAGTATACGCTGCGTACGACTCACTTTCTGCAGCGTGAAGCTCTCGTCGGGGAGACAGTACTTGTCCGCCAATGTTTCGTACAGATCTCTGACCGTGACATCCTTCGAGAAGGAGATATGATGGTCGTGCACGCCGGCTTTGCCTATCCATATGAAGCTCAACAGCTGGTATATCTCGTTCTCTGGACGAGCCATGGTACAGTAGTTGAGATGTTGGCTGTCGTGGTGGTGTGAGCGCAGCGAGCAATTGTGGCGCGAGGGCTAAACCCAACACGCGGCTTCGGACCGGACACCCGCACATCGTGTTCAAGGTGGGGGGAAAGACATTTATATTCCGCATCATGTAAATACGACACGTAGCGGTTGTGAACTACTAAGCGTAGCCTACGATGGACGTCGCGCGATCAAGAGGAATGCTTGAGGTTGGGTGAGAGGGTGGTTGATGATGGCACGTCGCCTCGCGCAATCGCGGTGAGATTGGTGTGTGGGTGGGCCGACCATTCGCGACGCCTCTCGCGAACGGCTGGACGCTTGACCTGCCCGCGCGCCCATACATCGTTGAACGGATGAGAGGCGCACCGCGTGTGTCTGCGCTTCGCTCCGCTTCTTCCTCTGCCCGTTCGTTGCCCCGGATGCCCGTATGTCCCGGAACCCACATAATCCTTACTTAAGACTCTATGCGCCGAGATAAGAGCCGGTCGATGAAGCGTCCAAAGATGTTGGGGGCGGATTGCAATGGATGTTCGGAAGTCGTCGTGATGGAAAGATCACGGCCTGGTTATCCGGGTTGGAGGGAGTGGATCGTGTTCGTCGCCGGTGATGACCACTGCAGAAGCGGCGCCTGCAGCAAGCGCCCACATCTCCGCGTCGTATGTAGACGCCGTCCCAGACACCGCTCCCCGCACGGATTTCCTGACCATTGCGGAACACCACAAAGCCAGCACCCGTGCGCCGATGCCTGTGACCGTCGAGCCGTCTGTAAAGACGGCGGGTCGCGCGAGAAGTATATCGTGTTCAAGGTCGACGCGGTGGCGGCGTCTTGACTCTTAGCTGGTGGGGAGCGTAGTCTGGACAGGACCGGGTTGAACGAGCATCGCAGGTTTGACAGTGCATAATGTACATCCGGACGGCTTCTCCCTCTCGACTAGGAACCAGAGCAAAGATGAGCGCATCGCGGAGTGATAAATATACAAGGGAGGACGCGTATCGACGCAGTCGTGTTGTTCCTCCTTGAGCATTATAATGCATCGCACCCGGGATTTACTGCAAGCAGGCTACATCCTATTTGAGGGTGGGACGGTCTTGTGGCGAAGGGTGACGATGATGGTGGCGGGAAGCACGCGCCTGGCCCAAGCGCGCCTGATGGCGCGGGCGCAGCGTTCCATATTTTGCTCACGGCTTGTTCGCCGACCTTGACGTCGTTCCCTCTCGGCTTCACCCACAGCCGCCATCGCGCGCGCGCCTCCCCACAACCATATATCCCTCTTCCTAGTCTGCTCAATCAATATCTGAAGACTATACCATGTCGGCAGTCGGACCGAGCCCGCAATCCGGACATCCTTCGCGTGAGGCGAACATGTCTGTCTCAAGTTCAAGGAGCGACAAGTCTGGCCGATCAAGGACGGTACGTGCATATTTCATTGCCCAGAGGGTGTTCTCTACGCGACTGGATGTATGTGGTACTGGTTGCGGAGGAGTTGGGATCATACTGTGCTGGAAGCTTGCGCATACGGTCGACCAGGATATTCTTAGACCATCGCGCCCTCGCCCTCGCACAACATAATACAAGGATATATCGCTAATACTTCTCTCCAGCCAGCAGTAGAGTCCGCAGTCACGCGCCTACTAGTATCGATCAAGCAACTGCTAGAATCGCTCACGAAATGGAGTCAGCAGCAGATGTCGGAGGAGGACGTCAGCGATGTCTACGTCAGGCTAGGGAACGACTTTAACGCTGCTGTGGCCGCGTTCGCGTCGTATAACATTGACATGAGGTGCGTACATATTTGGCTATATTAGGCATGGGCGTCTATTGGGCACCTGGATGGTGGATGGTCGAGGGCGCGTTCAGGCGTGGTCTGTATACTGTACCTGAACATGCTTTGCCCTCTCTATCCTATGCACCATGCCCGCGATGCCTATCGCCTTGACTATCTTCACGCGACACAGAGCTAATGTGCACCACAGCGAACTCTTGACCGTACCGGACGATCTACGCGGCATACTCGAAGACTGCCTCTCCGAAGAACCAACGACGGCCAACCTGGACAAATACCTGCCCAAAGTGCGCGCCATCATCACCGGCCTCCTCCAAGGCCTCCGCACGAAACAGTCCACCTTCCGCCAAATCGTGTCGTCGAGCAAGCACCGCTCCGACGCGTCGGCGTCTGGGCACAGCAGGACGGACAGCCGCGTCTCGCGGTCTGATCGGGAGCGAGATCGGAGTTCGAGGAGGGATACGAGGGGGTCTGCTGTGAATGAGGATGGAGGGGCGTCGAGTTCGAGGAGGAATACGGCCGCGTCTGTCGCGTCGACGTCGAGCTCGGGCAGGAGAAGAGACACGGCCGCGTCGGTCAACGGCGAGGACCCGTTCGTCGGCGGTTTCTCGCCGCATCTCGCTCAGCCCATGCCCACCCGCGGTTCAGCGCCACCCAATGGCTCTGGTCTACCCGAACGACCGCCCTCGTCTGGCCGGTCACGCCCACCGCCCGCCCAGACACCACCCGTCCCACCGCCCTACGAAGCCGACAGAGAACCCGCGCCACCAAATAATCGCGCCAGCCAACCCGCCCAACCGCCCGTACCCTCCCACGTCAAGCGCTACTCCCTCGTCGACAAACCCGTCTCCCCGCCCTCCGTCGTAATAGACGAAGCATCGCCCGACCCCAACGCCTCCGCCTCCGTCTCATCCCCACCTCATCCCCCAGCATCCGAGCTCCCCGACAGACACGACAACATGTCCCCCGCGCCCGAATCCCTCCCCGACGCCACGTCCAACCCGGGCGTCGCGTCCTCCCTCGCAGCCCTCAAACAGTCCGACGCGCTCGAGCGGCGCGCGTCGAAGCGGTTCTCGACGTACAATATCTCCAAGATGACCATCGGGCATATGGGCCCGAGAGAGCGCGTGCCGAGTCTGAGCGGGCAGGGCAATAGGCGGAGTATGGCTGCGAGCAACACGTTGACGGCCGCGGAGCTGGCTACGCTCGCTGATGAGGGCGGGGGCGGGGGCGCGGGGATCGGCATGAGTCCCAGCCCGCGCAAGAGGAGCACGCGCGCGCCGAGGGGGCCCAGTCCGATGCAGGATATCGTGGAGGAAGAGCCGCCCGTGCCGCCACTACCGCCCACGGCGTCCACATCCACATCCGCGCCCCCCAAACCTTCCTCTGTCCCAACGGTACAAGTCGACGGCCAGCCTCCGCCCGAGTCCGATCCTGATGGTCCCATCACGATATTCATGCAGGTGGGGCGGGAGGTGAAGAAGGCGCGGATGGAGCCGGGACAGCTGACGAGTCTGAACTCGTTGCGGGTGTTGTTCGTGGATAAGTTCGCGTATAACCCCGGCCAGGGCAATTTTCCGGCGATTTATATTCGCGATCCGAGTAGTGGGGTGCAGTATGAGCTGGAGGAGCTGGAGGAGGTCAAGGGAGGGTGTTTGTTAAGTTTGAACATCGAGCGTGCGTTGCATTGTCACCTTCATCTTGGGTTCTTGTAGACTGATGCGGGATCACAGCGCTCGACCAGATCAAAGAACACATCGACTCGCAAATCTCGAACCTCACCCAAGAACTCCGCGACCTCCGCAAAGCCGTCGGCGACTCCAACCGCCGCTCATCTGTCATCGCCCCTCTCCCTCCCACAATCGAATCGCCCGTAAACGCCGTCCCCACCCCTCGCCCCTCCGACGCCCAACTCCGCGGCGTCGCCCGTCGTCTTTCGCGCTTGGTCTCCGATGCACCCCACCAACAACAGCAGCAAAGTCAGATCCAACCGCAGACGACGGGCCAGACGCTCATGCCGCAGTTCACCGGCATGTCCACCATGAGCGACGCGTCGAACCGCATCGTCGCGGACCTGCGCACGCAGTTCGACGAGGTGCAGAACCTGCGGCGCGACCTGGGCACCATGCGGCAGCTGTACACCGAGTTCGCGAGCGGCACCAAGGACGCGCTGGGCGGGCTGCGCGCGCAGACGGCGCGCGTGCGCGAGCTCGCGAGCAGCCAGGTGCCCGGCGCGCGCGCGTACATCGACGAGGGCAAGGCGAAGCTCGACACGCGCTCGCAGAACGTGCTGACGAAGATGGAGGAGCTGCAGGACACGGTCGAGCAGGTCAAGGACGACGTGCTCAAGCGCCAGATCTCGCCGCGCGCGGCGATCATGAAGGCCATCCGCGAGGACATTGCCGCGGCGCAGGAGGAGCTGACGAGCCTGACGGAGCACATCAAGACGGTCAAGCCGATGTGGAAGAAGACGTGGGAGGAGGAGCTACAGAGTATCGTTGAGGAGCAGCAGTTCTTGAACCACCAGGAGGAGTTCTTGATGGATCTCGTCGAGGACCATAAGGCCGTTGTGGAGGTGTTTGGGCATGTGGAGAAGGTTATAAGCATTCGGGGCGCCGCGGGGAGCAGGGGCGCGAGGAGGCCCGGGTACAGGCCGCCGCCGCCGGAGGAGGGGCATAATGGGCTGAGCACGGTGATGCTGGAGATCCAGGGCGCGGCGGTCGACCCGGAGAAGCGGATGAAGGCTATCGCGGCCAGTCAGAAGACAAGGGAGCGGGATCTGAAGGCAAGGGGCGACCAGTTCGAGAGCGAGCTGCAGGACCGGCAGATGAGGCTGAATAAGACGGGCGGGGCGGAGGAGGCGGAGAGGGTTAGGCAGAAGAGGAACGATATGACGCTTAAGGCGATGTTTACGGGCGGTGGGGGTGGTGGGGCGG